CTACTCTTCATCTCTCATGCTATCTTGGAAGTTCATCAAAGACCATCTGATTTTTCTCAACGAAAGTGAATTATAGTTCACTTTCAGTGTGAGGAAATTAGGGAGTGTGGTCTTTCCTTTTCATAATAAGATGCTGGCATTAAAACATGAATGAATTGGTGTAATATTTATGAGAGTTGTTGTCTCAATGCATGTGCTTTACTGAGGAAGTGTTCTTGAGTTCGCAAATGGTTCATGTATTGGGTTTGGCAGCTTCATTCTAGCTGATTGATTTTTTGACATCCTGTGACCCCTAGTGAGCAACAGAAATTGCCAGCAAAGCAGCAGCACCCCTTCCCGTTCAGACTTGCTCTTCTTAGACCTTCCTGTAGACTTTTCAGTGAGTTCTTAGACACACAGTAAAATGCTAAGCAGTGCGTATTTTTTTCAGGTCCAAACAATAAATTGGATTTCACTTTTCCATCAGCAAGGCATGTCACTGATATGCATTCTCTAATTTTTACTAATAGGGGTTTTTTTTGCATTGCAATTATTGGGATGAATGGTGTTTTGAAATATTCACAGTAGATGATATGCGGAAAATCATTTCTCTGTGTTCATCAGTAATCTTAAGAAGAAACAGCCATACTTTGAGGTTCTAACATATTGATTTTCATGAGTTAGGACTTCAGGTTTCAGGCATGCATAGAAATAATTCATCATGTTAAAGAGAGGAAAATTATCATTTCTAGTAACTGAGAGGGAAAGGGAGGGGATAGGGATAATCTGAGAATGAAAGTAAATCAGTAGGGAAAAGTGGAAAGAACTAAAAAATCCCCTTCATAACAAGCAATGTCAAAAGATGCTTGCCTAGAAGACACATATCCCTGGTTATTTTTATACATGTGGTTACTATTTGGAATACGTACATAAAAATATGTAATGGTCATTTTGAAAGTAACAGTATGAAACAAGTTGTGGGGGGTTTTTTAATAGGATTCAGGCTTAAGAAAAGGAGACTTGCAAGCCAGTCTTTATTCACCAAAAATAAAATGTTACATACAATCCCTGTTAGCTTAGCACAAGAAGGTTCACAGGTGTTTGAGAACATTTGCAAAAATCAAGTAGATTTTTGGCAATGAATCAGCCTTGGTCACCCTGTTGGTTGACCTGTACTGAGAGCAGGACAGGGAATGTGTGACTATGCTAATGCGTCTTGATTTCTTGGAGGCTTTTGATACCATTGACCATGGTCTCCTTTTGTACCAGCTCTGTGGGATGGGTACATAATCAGCCAGGAACAGCAATGCTCAAGCAAGCACATGATCAGCCACAGCCATCCCAAGAATCCTGTCCACATCCTCAGGCTGAACAAGCTGAAAGTCACCCATAAAAAACTGATAAGGGGGAGCAAAAGATAACGTAAGATATTTTAAGCCAGCCAGGGGGAAAATGCAAAGTGCATTGAAAAATAATCACAGCAGGCTTTTCAGGGTTGTCCTGCTGTGAAAGTCTCTTCATCCTTCATAAATGTTCCATTCATAAATGTTCCACTCAGCAGATGCAATGATGGTGGAGAAGAAAGATTTCCTGGTCACTACTCAGCATCATCACTAAGGATTGGGTTGTAGAATGTTCTCTGGCCTGTCCTCAGTTGGATTTGTCACACGTATTTTGCTCTAAATCACTCTCATTGTTGTTCCCTTCTCCTGTGTTGCTGCCTTTGAAACCAGACCTCCTGTCTGCCTTGGATTACACTACTGGTTGCTGGTCATTCTGATCTTTGATGGCTGCTTCATAGAACTTGACTCTTGCCTGTTCTCCATCCATCCCCTCCATAAAATAGAAACCCGAGTGCTTATGACTTGGCCTTCTGACAGCTTAGCTGTTTGTGTTATAGAACTATGGAAGGTTTGATGATGGCTGCTTAGCTTACCTACCAAGCCTACAATTATCTCCTTCCACCTGTTTAATATGACCCTTCCCTGTTATGTCTAAGCTGCATAGGTGGTGATTTTCAGACAAAAGCCTGCTATTTCTCCCCTAAGTGACTGGTAACTGCCTACACTGCCTGTTGTATAAACCTTTCTTGAGAAGCTCTTTGTTGGGATGTTTATATGGCCGGATATATTGCTGGATTTCTATTTCAGTGTAGTTCAATTCAAAGAAGAGGCCAGACTTTGCATACAGGGCACATTACGGTTATCCAATTCCTTGTGTAACATAGAATAATAGAATTAGTAGAGTTGGAAGGGATCCTGAGGGTCATCTAGTCCAGCCCCCTGCAATGAGGGATTCTCAACTAAAGAATCCATGACAAGTGGCCATCCAACCTCTGCTTAAAAACCTACAGGAAGGAGAGTCCATAACCACCTGAAGGAGTCCATTCCACTGTCAAACAGCTCTTACTATCAGAAAGTTCTTCCTGGATGTTTGGCCACATTCTCCTTTCTTGTAACTTGAATTGGATCAAGCCCTACCCTCTGGAGCAGGAGAAAACAAGCTTACTCCATCTTCCATGTGGCAGCACTTTAGATATTTGAAGATGACTATCTTATCTCCTCTCAGTCTCCTCTTTTCCAAGCTAGTACATGATAGTACATGAAATGTGGGGATAAATAGGTACCACTGTGGCAGGAAGGTAAACGGCGTTTCTGTGCACTCTGGCTTCCATCATGGTGTTCTATTGCACCAGAAGCGGTTTAGTCATGCTGGCCACATGACCCAGAAACCTGTCTGTGAACAAACGCCTGCTCCCTTGGCCTGAAAACAAGATGAGCGCCGCACCCCGTAGTCACCTTTGACTGGATTTGACTGTCTACGGGTCCTTTACCTTTATTATTATTATTATTCATCAAATGTCCTTGGTAGCACCAGGCAAGATTTGTAATAGACCACATTTGAATTTAACAGCTTGAAGGCAGGTTCATAATTCATGCCTAGAATTATTCAGTGCAGCATTTGTGGTGGTGGTGGGGATGCAACTGCATTAATGAGATCTATGCACTGAGAGGCAAAGACACGCAGTGGACAGAATGGTATGGATCTAGGAGACAAAGCTCCAGATCCCATGAAGGTCATTGGGTAGCACTGTAAAAAGCAGCCAAATGTAACAAAGGTCATTGTGAGGTTACAAAGAAACAAGGATAGACCCTGTCCTGGCTATATCTCATAGTGGCAGAGGAGAGTAAGTAAAAAGAATGAAGCAAGACTCCTAGGAAGGCATTTGAAGCATCCGTCACAGTGCTGATCTAAGATTGCATTGGAGTTATCCTTTATTCTGCAGTTGTAATGCTAGGGAGAATCCACTGATTCTGGCTGTAGACCAATATATTCAAGTGAGCTCTATTTCAATTCACACTTGACTTTGATGTGATTGTGATGCTGAGCACACGGATATCCCCCAAAATAACATCTTGAAATGATGACTGGTTTGGGGGAAATCTGAATTCATCTGAAATGATGGTGCTTTTTTAAAACCTTTCTTCCTCTCCTCTCTCACCGACAAATGTAGTATCTGTAACATTTTGAGATATGTATGGATTTATTTTTAGGTTGCGTCTAAAGTACTCGGGACTATTAATGGTACAAGAGAATGCTGAGCTTTCTCGAACTCTGCGGCTGCACCGCAGACTTGCCCTTGGGCTGCAGGGGGGGGGAAAACAGTGAATATTTATAGCCAAGCCTATATAAAATAAAACTGGTCACTGAAAAGGCAGGCAATGAAGTGCATTTCCACCTCCTGAATCCATAGGCATAGAAAAGTGCCTAAAACCAAAGTCAGACATTGGTCTATGTAAAGGGTAAAAGGGAAAAGGGTAAAGGACCCCTGGACGCTTAAGTCACGTCAAAGGCAACTCTGGGGTTGCGGCGCTCATCTTGCTTTCAGGCCGAGGGAGCTGGCGTTTGTCCACAGACAGCTTTCCAGGTCATGTGCCAGCATGACTAAACCACTTCTGGTGCAATGGAACACCGTGACAGAAACCAGAGCACATGGAAACACCATTTACCTTCCCGCCACAGCAGTACCTTACGTATTGGTCTATGTAGACCAGTATTGTCAGCACAGACTGAGAGAGCATTTCATTGCTCTGCAAACCAAGTGCAACGATAATAGATTAATTTGTATTACAACAATAAAGCAGCATGGAAACAATACTAAGAAAGGGCCAAGGATCAAACGAGATGTGACTTTAATCACATTTTAAATATTTTGTGCAAAACTAGCCACATCTGTTTTTGAAAAGCAGCCACAGGGGACTACAAATCTATGGTGTAGTCCATTTACTACCCCCTCCCCCAACCCGACCACACGCAATTTTCTTGTGGAAAATGTCTACCAAAGTTGCCTACCGAAGGTGATTATTTTCAGCAGAAAAATTATGGTTATTTTGACCCTCACTCAGGTCAGACGACCTCCCATTGTGTCACACAATAGCTTAATGAAATCACAGCACTAGGGCATTTTCTTGAAGCATTTTGTCACCAACAATGGACCTCAGGGTCTTGTAAATTTAAGTTGCCACTTCAGAGGCTACGGCAGGGGGGTGGAGTTGCTTGTTAGGTGCCCAGGGTCACATTCTGTCATATTTTCAGTACTAAGAGTTATTCCTATTGTTCATAATTAAATAATATACAGGTAAAAGAGAAGATGCCATGTGTTCCTTCTGCTTTCTCATACTGAGCTGACCCTTCTCAAATTTAATAGTTTAGACAAGCCATCATGTATACCAGTTGCCATTACAAAAATAGAGATCTTATTAAAACATTAATACATAGAGTTGCATTCAATGGTAGTTATACTCAGAGCAGATCCACTGATTTCAATAGGTCTGCTCTGAGTAAATTTTAACCAGCTACCATAAACACTGACATCGAATTTTGGGAGGCTATTTGAAAAACCACAGCAGACCCTTTCCCCAAGGATTAGTCGTTTTGAAATTCACACTCTTTCCAGTTCCTCTCTGTGCCCCCCCCACCAAGAAAAGATTCATCAAGAAGGGCAAAGGAACCAGGCCAGTCAGGAAAGATGTTGCAGCTTCAGGTTTAATGACACATTGCTCCTCTTTGGAGGGCGTCAGCATCTCAGAACATCAGTCGGCCTGGCTTTGCTGGAACTGTGGTTCATTCATGAGGCAGAAATCTTGGTGATGTTGCCTGGCATTTCTGGAAATGCTGGATGATAGAAAGGAAGGGCTTCGGAGCTCTATCTGACTTTCCTGTAGTAGTACACTGTGTGCGCTACCGACACTGCGGAAACAAAAGTGCAAAATATTGTTTGAGTTTCTCCCCCCACCTGCAAACACTTCTTTTTAAACATCTACATCATGCACTCAAGCAAGGCATTGGCGGGACCCAAAACTGGCCACTCTGCCCTTATTCTAATGCATGTTTCCCTAGACCACAAAGAACTACTGCTTTTTTTTGTTCATTTGTTAACAATGCCATGAGGATCATTGCTTTACCTCGTCTCCCTTTCTTTCCCCTTCTTCCTCCTCTCTGACCTGCCAACCCCCCTCTTTTACGTCTTCTGCGATAGGGAGGCCTGCAGCCACATCGCGTCATTTTCTGGGGTTTTGGTGATGTTAAAAGTCTAGTAGAGGATCAAGAGGAGCATGTCATTCCGCGAAGCCAGCACAATCTGTCTCCGAAGATGGTACTTGAATTTGTGAAATGATGCTACCTGCTGTACTTTTACTTATATGATCTGGTGGTTATGAGCTCATATAGTTGATATGGCAACCTCTGTGTCTTATGAAATCACCATATATGGGACAGGCTAATAAACTAACTTTAAAACTAGCATATAACACAATTCAGCATCTAATAACAAACTTCAGCATGTATTATTATTATTATTGTTATTATTATTATTATTATTATTATTATTATTAATTGGTTCATCGCCTTACCTCATGCATTCATTCTCTCATCCCAAACACCCATCTTATTGTACTTAAATTGCACCCAACACCTCGTAAGCTTGGCATTCTAGCATGAAGTTTCACTTTCCAGAACACGAGAAATTCAGTTCTTCAAAAATTTAGTATGTTCTTCCATATCATAACAAAACCAGTGTTTTATTATGCTGAATATAACCCATGTGCTTAGTAACCATTGAAACATTTTTGTGTTTCCCTTTTTCTTCCAGTTATTACTAACACTGGTTGTTGCAGCTGATAATAAACAATAATTTCTTGGTCATTCCTCAAGGTTTTATCTTTCATACTTCCAAACAAGATCACCAAGAAATCCAATGGAAGCCTCTAACCGTTCATTTCTTTGATGTCTGTGGTAGGCCAAGCCACGCTCACCTGACCAACACCTGATGTCTATAGGATGTCAGGTGCAAGACTGATAAAGCTACATGTGCAAATAACGACAAATTCAGCCGCAGCTAGAATTTTGCACTGTTTGAATTTGACGACTTACCTTGGGCCACTGCTTTTGGCAAACTTCCACTTGTTCTTTTTCTGTGTCCTGAGTAGTCAGGAGCACTCCTGGTGGTTCATTTGCATCCACGGCTGTACCCTTGGCACTTCTTGAATCTGGCACCTTAACCCACCATGCTGCTTTTGGCAGGGACCAGATACAGGAGCTCCTGATCCTTTTGATCTGGTCCCTCCTGAAAATAGCACAGCAGAGAAAGCTGCCAAATGCAAACAGCACACTCTGCAAATGTTTCTTTACAGCTGCAGCTTTACCTTTCCTGTGCCTGAAATCATATGATCTCAGGTAACTGACTGCCCCGTGTGATCCACAGAGGGCTGGCCACTTCTGGATCTGGCCCTCTGGCTGAAAGATAACCACCTTTTTCCAAAATATTTTTATTTTAGGGCATAACCAGAAAATGTGAGTTACACCTGCTCTACTTGCCTGGCGATGCCAACACACACAGCCAGATTCAAGGTTCTTATATTAACTTACAAGGCCTTGAGAATTGGGGTCCAGGATCCCTCAAGGATCGCCTAATCCCTCATATCGCTGCCCAGTGGACTTTGTGGGAATCACTGTTAGTGGACCCCCATAGACTAAAATTCAGCTAACAGGAAAGCAACCACAGAAGTTTAAGTACTCAGGTTCTGAGTATGCACCAGCAGCAGCCTAGTCTGATGAATGGGGAAACATGCTTATCAGCAGGGCAAAATATGTCTCATTTTTAATTGCAACTCAAGTAAGCATTTCAAGGTAGGGTGTCTCGCTTTGAATACAAATGAGTACTACAAGCAGTGAAAATTCACAGCGCAGACCCATTCTTTGCAGACTTCACCAGCATAACTGATAAAAAACATTTCACCACACATTTCTGCACAGAATATTAATCGTGGTAATCATGCCATGCATGGGGTGTGTGAAGGGAAGCTAGTGTACTCTGTGTGCACACACCCTATCAGGAGGGGGGAAATTTAGACCGATTCCTATCACCCTATGCCCTTAAAGTTCATCTCCAGTTTTAGTTCAACAAATATCACCAGTTCATCCTTCTTTGCATAATGGCATTGGATGAGCCTCTTGTAAAATCATGGAAGACTCTACATGTGCACTATTTATAGGAGCACCGCCAGCCATTAGCTTTTGACGTAACAAGGCTTAAAGTTTGTGAGACAAATAATGTTTTCTGAAGAAAGCTACTTATGTTAGTAAGCCAGCTAAGAAGCCTAGCAAAATTCATTCCACAGGGAGAAGCAAACTCATATTCTATATTTCACAAAGCCATCATTTATAAAAGGTGAAAACTCTTTTTCTGCCGGATTTGAAAAATAGTATTGAGCTATAATATGGGGCATTACCTTCCCTCCAAGAATATCATATGCCTGGATTCACTCAGTCCTTGAAGAACACTGGGAAATTTCAGGTGATTCAGAAGAGGTGGACAGATTGTTACCTGGAGCTGGACATTGGGAACATGTGACTCCCCTTCACTGGCTTATGCTTTGCTTCTGGGTCCAATTTCAAGTGCTGGTTATGACCTTTGAAGCCTTCGTGCTTTAGGACCTCCTCCTACATAAGTCCACTGGCTCATTAAGATAATCCGTGCACATTCTCTTGTCTGTTCTACTCATATCTGAAGCATGTATCCTTGGACCAGGGAAGCATCCTTCTCGGTGACTCTGCTTAGGGTGTCTGACCTTAGTCCCTCTCTGAAGGTCTTTTATCGGAGTGTTAGCACCTTCCTTCTCAGGAAGCTCTTTGGGCTCTAATTGTGACCCTCTTGCTATTTGATTTTGAAGTTATTCAAAATCACTTTCTGGTCTGTTGTGTTTTTCAATGACACTTTTGTGGTTAGCTGCTTGACCCCGGATTTTATGGGATGTTTTCCCCTTCCACCCTTTGATATCATTGCCATTGTACAGTATTGGCTTTAGAGGTTCTTCTCCAGCTTGGGAAACTGAGTTAAAATTGTTTTAAATGAACAAATCAAGGCATAGCAGCCTTGTCACGCAAGGCTGATGCCCACTGTATTTCATCACAGATGAGTTAAGCAGGGTCATCATTTGTTGTGGCTTTGAGGCTGCTTATAAAAAGGCAAAGCCCGCCACCCTGAACCTCAGGCTCCCAAGTGCAGGTTATGCCACCACTGCTAAGAGCTTGAGAGAAGAAAGAAACATCAAATGGCCCGAATCAAACGCAGCCGGAGCCGGAGCCTGACCCGCTTCCGTCAAATGAGGCAAAAGGCCAGCCATGCGGGTGGCTCTGGAAAGAGACGAAAAAGACGCCAGGGCAAAAGGAAAGGTAAGATGCTTAAATTTAAGACTTCTATGCCATATGGCTTCTATGTATACTCACATAAGATTGCGCTCTTGAGTTGTGACCCTTCAAACACATTTGGTAGGAAGTAAATGTATTTTATCCCTATTTACTACAGCTCAACTTGGTTACATTTAATAACTGGTGGTGGTGTTTGTTCTTTTCTGGTAAAGGTCGTGGTCGCAAGAAGGGGCGAAGAAGAAGACACTAAACTCTTTTCATCTTCATGGTGTTCTGTGCCCTTGATTTCAACCATCTGACTCACCAAAACCTTTGTCTAACAAAATGAACACAACAATCTTTCATGAGAATACCCAGGATACCTTCCTGAGATTCAAGGAGCCTGCAACAAATTGAACAATGCCACCTGTCAATAAAATGCTAAAATTTCATTCCTGTGGTTTCTCATGTGATTTCTTAACCGGGGATAGGTGGCAACTCCTCAATGATGTTGGTGGGTGAATTGCTAGGTTGCCATAAGTGGATATCGTGAGTGGGAGAAGCTCGGAAAAAGGAACTTAATAAAAAGTTTAGGAACTCTTAGTTTGAGAGTTGTGGATTGTGTCAAAGCCTGTTGTTTTGTCTAGTTATTATATGTGTGATGGGGTGGTTGGTGGTGCAATGTCTGGGCACATGACTGCCCCACAAACCAATCAGAATTTTGTTTCAAAGACTTGCCACAGCGTTAGCTTTGAACAAGCAAATCGGGACGAATTCTTAATAAAACAGGTCATCTGGAGGAGTTCTAAATCATGCTTAGAAAACAACTTCCTGAACTCCTGGTTTGCTGCTATATGGAAAAACTTCAAGCATGGGAAGTGCTTACAGCAAAATCACCCCCTGCCCCGAGAGAATATGCTGTTTCACAATATAAGCCAGCTGTGTAGACTACATATTCTTTATAATCCTCCTGGCTTGGATGAAACACCTCACCTGTTTGGACTGCAAAGGTCAGAAGCAAAGAAGAGCAGGCCTGATCTCTTACATCAGCACCTTGGGGATGTGACATTACTAGAAGCTTTGACATACAGACCAGAACTGAATTGTTAACAGGAAGTGGGGGAGGGGGGAGATGAGTTGGAGCCAACCACAGAAAGCTGGCTTTTCCCACCAAGAATCCTTCATTATTTGTTGTTGTTTTTTTTGGGGGGGAGGTGTTTGCCTTCCTTTTATATCGTCTGTCAGTAGTTTACCAGAAAATTGTCCAATATGTTAGCCTCTTCCCTTCCTGCTCCCTCACCCACTTGACCCTACTACTGGAAGATATCAGCCATCACTTTGGAGTGTGGTATCATCAATACGCTGATGATACAAGTCCTATTTTCATTTTCAACAAATCTAGAGGGCTGTAAGGTGTGTGCTTCATGCCTTGAATGAATACCTTGTTGTGGGCTGGATATAGCTGAAGTTTAATGCACAGTAGCTGAAGTTTAATCTAGACAAGATGGAAGTTAAGATGCTAGGCCAGTCTAGATCTGGCAAGCTGTTGGTATTAACTGTACTGGATGGGTTTACGCTCTGCATAAGGGACAAGGTATGCCATTCTGGGATTCTCCTGGTTCCTGCTTTGCTGCTGAATTCTCAGGTGGTAGCAGCAGCTAGGGATGCCTCTTCTTCCTTTAGGATGGTGAGTCAACTGCTCCTGTTGTTCTCCAGTAGGGAATTGGCCTCGGTTCTTCATGCTTAGCTAAGCTTGTATATGTACTACTATATGGGGTGGCCTCAGGTGCCGGTACTGTGTACCCTTGAGTACCCACTTTTAAAAAAGAGCACTGGGTAGCCTTCAAAGGCAATTCAGAAGCTTGCCTTCCAGCAAAAGAGCACTATAGGGAAAGTATTATTTGTACTTTTGGCTCAATCACACAGGCTACTTATAAGAATAGGCTAGAGATTGGAAACCTTTGGCCCTTCTGATGCTGCTGGACCCCAGCTCCCAACAGCCCCCTGCAACACCGCTAAAGGTTCAGCATGAGGAGAGTCCAACAACATCTGAATGGCCACAGGTTCACTATGCTCCTGGATTTTTAAGGGTGCCTTCTTCCATATCTTTATTTCATTTCCTCCATCTGCGGGGGAGATGTTGCCCCGAGTCCTACCTGCTACAGAGGAGAAGACAATCTCTTTTTTGCTGTGACACCCATGCTCTGGAAAGTTGTTTCACTGGCTTCATATTCCATCTCTCTGTTTTTCTCCCATTGTGACAGCCATTAGAAAAGCATTCAATGCTCGTTGAAGGAGTTTGGATTTTGGTATTTACCTTCCACAGCTGTCATTTAGGGTATCTTTACATAGTTGGGTTTTTATGTGCAGTTGTGAGTTGTCACCTAAATTGTTAAAGCCTTGTTTCATTCTGGCAGTTTACATTTCGCAAGAGGTCAGGAGGGTGGAAACACAAGAACGGGCCTTCTCTGCAGTGGCTCCCCACCTGTGGAATGCTCTCCCCAGGGAAGTTTGCCTGGCGCCTTCACTATACACCTTTGGCACCGGGCAAAAATGTTCCTTTTCAACCAGGCCTTTGTCTGACTTGATTTACATCCTATACCCTTTTAAAAAATGCTGGCTCTTTTGGGGTTTTTTATTGGGTTGTAGGTTTTGTTTTAATTTTATGTATTTGATATTTTATGTGAACCACCCTGAGACCTTTGGGTATAGGGTGGTGTAGAAATTAAATAATACATACATACATACATACATACATAATTTCTTTTTTTATTTCCTGAACTGCCCTTGGGGTGTTGTGAGAGAGCTAGAGGATACAGTCTCGAAACGCTAAAATAACTCAGTTGTAACAGCACATTTCGCCCACGCAAAAAACCAAAAGTTAATGCAAATTTTTTTAAAAATCACTCTTAGGAGAATTGGTTTGTATCTGGATTACCGAAGTCACAATGAACATCATTTGTGATGTCACTGGTTTCCTGGCATAACCAGTCACCAGGATGCTCACACAACTATCATTTGTGCAGTACCTGGTGTCCAGGTAAGCTCTATCAAATAACATCTCGCTTTAAGTATCAAATATCTTTGAAAGATATCTGAAGGTCAAAACAGACCCTATGATCAGCTGTCCTGCCATTTTGTTTGATTGGCATTCAGTGCTAGTCCTACTCAGAGTAGACCTACTGAAGTTAAGCGACATTACTGACAGGTTTATTAAATTCAGTGGGTCTACTTTAGTAGGACTTTAGTTGAATGTAATCATTTGTTTTCAAGGCAAAACAGCTTCCTATGTGCCTCCCCCGCCCCTGTAAATAACAGTTTGTATAGGTAATTTATATCACTGCTTAGATATTTTTCTTATTAATAAGTGGTTTATAAATGCTTCAAATAGAAATAAAATGAATATCAGAAGAATGATGCACTGAGAAAGCATTAAACAACCCCCATTTCCTGCTGTGTCAGGCAGTTTGGATTGTATTTTTGTACTTAATGGAAAATGGTTCTGAATCCTGCGATGGATATCACTGATATCGAATTAGAAGGCACTCTTTATAGCACAGCAGTTAATTGGGAGTTCTTGATTCCATTACCTGTATTTTACCTGGAACATGTCAATGATCAAATTGAGATTTTTTGTGATTCATTATATTAATACTGTAAAGGCAGAATGACCACCCACCCAAGGGCCTGTTGAAATTCATTTCATTTGCTTGGCCAGAGTGACATCAACCACCATAACAGAGGATGACCAACTGAATTCGCAGCTCTGCCTGAGGCTGAAAACCTGAAAAGACACGATGGCACGGCAACAGCAGAGAAGAAATAGGCGAAGAATGATTCGCCTTAGGAGACAACAGCGTAGCAGGAAACCGGCTGCTCGAAGACTCCCGAGGCAGATGAGAGCAGGTTTTTAAAACATTACTAAACTGGGGTTTTGTGAAGCATCCAGTAAGATTAACATTGAGGGTTAAAAATCTCCAGAGGTAGCACTGAGAGTGAGGAAGCAATTAGGCCACTTTGCATTAAACACAATTATTTCTCAGAAGCATGTCACTTATTTGTTTTATTCATCTGCTGTCAACACCCCCCCCCAAAAAAAAATCACCTTAGAGACTCTTTTCTTATAAGTTATGCACAAAGCACTATATAATAAAAAGAACAAATTCAGCTAAGTTAGTTGAATTTCTCTCCTTTGAAATTAACCAGCTACTTTAGTTATGACAGGTCATTAGTTATAACAGGACATAGATATATATATATGAATGAAAAGTATCCATTAGAAACAATTGGAAAGGATGCCAGTTTTCTTACAAATTAAATTCTATTTGAGCATCCAAGCTTCCCTACCGCACACTCAGAGTTTTAAATTGTGTGGGGTGGCTCCATGACTAGAGAGGCTTCCCACTTCTTTGAGGGCTACAAACACACACACACACACACGCAAACACACACCACATGTCTTCTTACATGTGAGGAGACTGAATACCCAAATAGGGCTTAAGTTTTGCCAAGAGCAGGCTTTTGACCACCATGATGAAGTTTCTCTCCCTGCACCCATCATGCCTCTACTGAACCCTAAAATATCCTCCCTGTAAAAACCGCTCACAATGTAATGTTCCAAAGGTATTTTATATGACTTGCTAAACCTCTAAGGATTAATCATCCGAGGAGGAAACGAGGTGCTCCGTTCCAGACCTGGCACCATGTGACAGGACAGGGGAGTCCATATGTAAGAATATGAGACCCACATAGATCTCTTCTTCATTAGCTGGTGAATGGTCATGTGATTCAACCCACAGCCTATCATTTGCTGAGGTTTTCTATTGGACATATTGTAAGCCATAGCAAGTCCCACAATTCTTGAGCTGGCACTACTTGAGGAGCAACAATATCATCATTATGAAATCAAATGAACTGATGGTGTGGTGGCACGAGTCTTTTATGGGGAGAAATAAAGATAATCTGGAGCTTTGTTCGATCCCTTTGCCCACATTTATTTCTATTTTCCCTCTTTCTGTCTACAGGCAGACACCAGTCCCATTACCGGAGAGCCTCAGCTGCAGTCTAGCCTAGGTCACTTTCTGTAGTGAGGCAACTGCTGCAAACGGAAGGAAAATACCGTGCCAGAAACCAGGATGAAGCACCAGGCTGGTGGAAGCATGCACTGCACTCAATAAACCATTTGAATGGCACTTGGGCTTCTTTTTGTCTTCTTATGAACCATACTATTGTGAGATGCAAGTGGGACTATCCAAAGGGATGTTGAGAAAGGTGCAGAAAAGGGTGCTGGATCAATTTTTCCCATGAGGAAAGACTACTGTTTCTGGGGTTTCTGTGTTTATATGGGCAAGGAACGGGGAGGCAGGATAATAAAATTACGCATGGTGTGTGGAGAAACTGGACAGAGAGATTCCCCCCATCTCAGATTAGAACCTGGGTGTTGTTCACTTAAACCGAAGGGTGGGAAATTCCAGATGTACAAAAGGAAACACTTCTTTGCACAACACACCGTTTAAATATGGAATTTTCTACTACAAGATGGTGATGACCACCAATGTGGGTGGCTTTGAAAGGAGATTAGTGACCAAGTCATGGAGGATAAGGCTAACAATGGCTTCTAGCCATTATGGTTATACACGCCTTCCAGTATCAGAGACAGTGTGCTAAATACCAATTTCTGGGGAACATGAATGGGATGGTGCCATTGTGCTCGTGTCCTCTTTGTGGGCTTCCCGTAGGCATCTGACTGCCCACTGGGGACAGAATGCTAGACTGATCTCTGGTCTGATTCTGCATGGCGCTTCTTAAGTTCTTATTAATATGAGTTTTGCCTTAACCAAGTTTGATCGCAGTCTGGAATTCAACAAAACAACGTTAATATTCCTGAAGAGTGGGATGAAGAAGGTGGAGAGTGGTTGCCCCCTTTGTTTTATTAGGAAGTCATCTCTTAAGTGTTTTGAAGAAGAAAGGCTATTTGGATGGGAATACACATCCCCAAGTTAAGGGGGGGTGTATGATAGAGTACATGTACATGTGAAGAAACAGTAGTTTGGGGGACAGAATGCAATCCTAAACCCACGTACAGGAGGGTAAGTCACACTGAATTCATTGGGAATTACTTCCAAGTAACATGCTTAGGAGGATTGCACTCTATACTTCACTACATGTGTCTAAGATTGCAGTCCAGAAATGCCATGCTACACATGTGTACTTAGAAGTTCTACTGAATTCAATGGGGCTTACTCTCAGGCAAGAGTATATACATTGTAACCACGTTGAGGGTTTCTAAAATGAATTTTATGAAATAATAGAATTATGAAATGTTTCAAAAATCAAGCAGTATTTCAAAAATAAAAATGTATTTCAGTTGTAGCATCATCAGTTGTATTGATATCCAGTATTTCAGGAATTCCCAAAGCAGATTTTTCACATATAGCATAAAAGAAATCCCAGGTAGTTTAACCTCTGGTCCCAACTTCAAAAATAATCTCAATCACTGAGAAAGGGTGGGAGGGGAATGGATTTTCATAAAAAGGGAAGTCATTTATTGTTACAGCCTATTGCCTACCTGTCAATGCCACAGATATAGGTTCTGCAACTACGTAACATTATAAACAGCACTGCCACTGTTTTCAATATCAATGAGTATGTTTTGTATGGAATTTATGGAACAGAATATGGAAAAGATTTTAGTAAATAAAGCAGACAGTCCACAGGGCATTATGATTTACAGTGTCAAAAGCCTTAGTAGAACGACCATATTCACAACACTCTTTTTGAATTTGCCATTCAATTGACCATTCAAGAAATCAGATGCTGATAGGCTCACAAGTATCTTTGTCCTTGAAAAATAATGTATTTGCCTCTTAAATACAAACTCTCCAGCACCATCTGTCAAAATTTAAAATTTTAGTTTGCCATCCTAATTCCACATATTGATCTTTGCCCTATTTAATAATTACTGGACTTTGAACTGTCAAAACAAAAATCGATGAAATGCTGTTTCATTGAAAAACTACAAAATAAGGCTAGTTACAATTGTTCCCCATGACTATCTGGCAGTTACTATATATGGTTACATTTCAGCAGACAAAGGGTCACTATGTGATATTGTTACAGATGTTATAAAAGGAGGAGCTCAGGCACAATTGCTTCAGAAACTCACAAAACACCAGAGCAATTATCTCGGCTGTACAAGCCAAGAGATAATGCCTGTGCTCCTAGAATCTTGAAAGAACGAGTAAGATGTCAAGATGCAGAAGCTCATCTTCTTCTTGCAAGGAGACTCAACGAAGAGTTCCTCCAAGCAGAAGGAACAAAAGGTGCAGGGTTGTCTATGATGCTCCACTAAAGAAGAAGAAAGGTAAATGTAACATTTACTATGTTTTATACTATTATGGCTGGGCATCTAAGGTTTGTCAAATCATCCAAATGGTTGGAGGATAAAAGTAGGTTATTCTCTCCATATGAAAGAACTAGGCTTTACAAGAGTAATGGGTTGTTTTTTGAAAAGAGCATTTAGGTATAAGATCACAAAAGATAACAATTTAAGCAGAAGTAGTAAATATTTAAAGAACCAGAAGGGGAAGCTGAGGGAAGTTACGGGGAGGGTCCCTCCCCTCCTTTATGATAATTGTCACATTATGTTGTTTGGTTGATTGTTAAATTGTAAAACTCAATAAAAAGCTTTAAAAAACAACAAGACTAATGGGTTTTTATTTTGTTTTCGACAGGTTACGTACGGGTCTGTGCTACATACTACTACTGGAAAGGAGGGAAAAAGTAATTTCTAGTGCTTCCCCAACTGTCCTGTTCAGAAAATCCATGTTTGGCACCAGTGACTCACCACCAGACATCTTCCATGATAAGGAAGTCCTTCAAAGGAGCCACCAATGAGCTGAGGGAAGACTTCAAGATTCAGGAGCCGGCCTATTACAGCAGCAATGCTAGACCTGCCTGTTTGTCAGTAAACTCATGAACATGCAGTTCACTTCGCTTTCACTCTCTTTGATCTCTGATGTATCGTTCTGTATGTTTGGTTTAATGGCTCCATTAAACATTATTATGAAATGTGCTTAAACAGAAAAGTGGAGGAATAAAAGTGTGCCAGCCATGTAAGCAAGGAAGGCTACAAGAAACACACATTCACATTCCCCTAATGCATCATGTGAAAATGAGGATTTGCATCTCACTTCACCATGGATTCTGGCAACGCTCTGGTTTTCCAAGATGTCTTCCAGTATATACAATGTTGGATATGCAGCTTTGTTCAAACTTCAACTCTGTCATCTTTTGCACTGTCTTCTCACAGTCAAGTGACCCCTAATTTGCTGAGCTGTGGTGAAGATGAGCAGGCAAACAAAGTGAGCTAAAAGCACTAACCTAAAGGACATATAAAAACAATTTTGTAGTACCATATTTGAGATATAGGAAATGCCAGCCACTGCCAAGTATAGGCAGTATAGGAGCATTTGCAAAATGGTTGAAGGCAAAATATTTTGGATTTTTCATTCATTCCTGATAACAACATCGAGCATTTTGTAAAACATCACACTGTGCAAAGAGGAGTTCACGTAAGGAATATATGAATCCATCTGCAGATGCATGGTTATGTGTAAAGGAAGTCAAAGACGAGTGTGCCTGCCTTTGAAATGCATGATAGGTTTAATTGAAATAAATGTTGACTATGTGCGCAGGATAGATTTCATTTCCATTGATTTCAAAGAGATTTAAGCTCTCGTGTTGTTCTCTGAATGTTTCATATACACATGGGCCATTGTTACAAACGCAGTCCTTCCTCCTGTGTTCCCCCCTTCTCTCCATTCTGTTATGATTGGCACCTTCAATCAGCCTGAAATTTCAGCAATAAGCCAGTAATGGCTCCGGCCAATGGGTGTAACTAGTATGTGGTACACAGAGAAAAGTTCATTGGTGAGGACATGGCAATCTGTCAGAGTTTCCATTGCAAAGTATTTGTGAGGGGTTTATATATTGGTCTTAAAATGTTTTTCTGAACTGAGACTACTCACACAAGGTGCTTGAGGGTATTTAAAATTGGATAACATTTAATGACATAACGGATTGTCTTTAATCTTGATTTTCCATTATGCGCACTGTGTATATACAGGATTGAAACAGAAAGCCTTTTAAGTACATTTCACAATTTATTTCACAGTTTACAAATAAGGTCTTTTTTATTTTCATGCCAGAAGATCTATTTAGAAATTCTGCTCATACCTTTTACAAATTTTTAAAAGAAGTGACGTCGCAACCAATGAAACTGTGTAAATTCCCCTAATAAGTATGTCTCAAGCCAGCAATAATTCCACGGTGAATGAAAAAACACTCCACATAGTACTAAGACCTAGTTTAAAAACCAGAAGATTGAGGGAGGGGTTAAAATAATAGAATCCAAATTCATATCACATTAGAATTAAATTTCAAAAAGCACTATCCAATACTTCAGGACTTAATACATGAACATTGAGGAGTATTTGGTTATATGGTTAGCTCAGTTGGTTAGAGTGTGGTATTGTAAATGATGTGGCCATTTAGCAAAGCTGGACTTGCCTTCTTGTTGACTCCACACACACACTCTTTGCACAAGAACCTTTCCATGCTTTTTTCCTCCCATTTTCTATTCATCCCTCGGGTTTGTACAGCTGAACTTTCTGTCCAGTTTAGCTCAGATTGCTCGGTCAGTAGAGCATGAGACTCTTAATCTCAGGGCTGTGGGTTTGAGTCCTACGTTGGGCGAAAGATTCCGGCATTGAAGGGGGTTGGACTTGATGATCCTTGAGGTCCCTTCCAACTCTTCTATGATTCTGTGCTGTTGCCTGCAACAAAACGTTTTGTTGGATGCCTTTGGCATTTCATGCCACTGAGGCTTCACTTAGACTTGAGTATGTCCATGTTTTAAACATATTTCACAAGTGTATTTATTTTCACTTATGAGAAGATGTGGCTCTCAGCTATAGTAACATATACATTATTCATAACAGCACATATCAAAACTTGCGCAGAATCAATATGAGGTTTCTAATAACTGGTAACCTTTCCCTTTGAGCTGTTTGTCCAGTCCAGCTCTAAAAGAGCTATTACTTTTAAATCCTTATAAATCTGTGGGAAATGATATTATTGATCCTTGATTTTCCCCTTGCTGCATAATATATTATATAATCCACTGAATGGAATATTTAACATTTCCTGCAGAAATGTAGATATCTCATCTTGCGGCTATGCATGTTGATGGTAAAATAAGTCTCACTGAATTCAATGGGGCTGATTCCAGGGTCAGCATATGTAGGATTGCAGTCATGCAGCCCAATCCAATACATGTTTACTCAGATGAAATTCCCACTGAGTCCAGTGGGGCTTACTCTCAAGTAAGGATGCACCTAATAACCCGCTCAGAAGTAAAAAGCAACTGATAAGCATGCATAGGATTGCATTCACACTCATGTAAATAAGCATAACCAAATAAACATGCACTTCTTTCTGAAACAATCCCAGTCAACTGGGTCACACAGGCATTATGATACCACCACCCTGTGGCCAATCAGATTTAACTACATAATGATGTCACAAAGCCAAATCAAGCAAAGACAATGCTTTGCATCCTAGGTAATAAGATGACATTATGGTTTGAACATTATGTACAAATAGCACTTAAGATTCTAACACCACCATCCTATACATGTCTATTCAGAAATAAGTTCTGCTGAGTTCAGTGGGGCTGACTCTCAGGAGAATGTGTATGGGATTGTGCCCTAAAATCACTATTTGCTGTTAATGTAGGAAGAACAAGAGTAAAGAAATAAGTTCATGGGAGCAGTTGTTAAATGATTAAATTATCCTTCTCTGGAATTTTAAAAAACAAATTGGGTTTTTTTATGAAACAAATTAAGTTGCTTATTAAATTATTGAGGAAGCTTTGTGTCTGTACATTGTTGGTGACTCGGCAAATGGCTTTCCAGTATTATAAGGTTACCAGATATGAGATTTAAATAGGCTAGATTACTCATTTAAATTGAAAGATGCTTTTTTATATATATAAAATAATATAAAGGATTTTAAAATATACTTTAGAGAAACGGTGGGGAAGGTTGGTGCATGTATGTGTATGTTTTACTGTGCTGTGGATTAAGGAACCTCAGCAGCCGCATCCTCCCAGCCTATCTATTCACAGAAAATTCAGAACACTCATGCTGCACTCTAGAAGTAACTGTGTACATTCTACTCACTAGATATGGAGTGCTATTTTTCTAGAGAAAGAGGTGCACACCATGAACACCTCCCTTGTTCTGTTAGAATGGCAATGGCGCCCAGCTGAGAGGTGCCGGAACTGAGTTCTGGTGAGTTCCAGCTGGAAAAAAAGCCCTGTATATATGTAAGATGGTCCTCAAAAACTAAGGAACTGCCCACATCTCATGTGGTTCAACCTCCAGAGAGAGAGAGGGAGAGAGAGAGAGAGAGAGAGAGATTTCTGCTCAGGCAGCGCCATTGTTAGTGAGTGCTGAGCTAATGAATCAGCACATCAGTGCTAAATCCAGGATCTGATACAAGTGTAGATAAGCTCCCCGTTCTCCTAAAGAGCAGGGGCATCTTGGCAAAGCCCTGCTCTCCATGCTCATGCCGAAGCCAAGGTTCCAAAGGAGAGCCTATGTTTTGAAACCCTCAAGGCTGGGTTTTGACCCCTTCTCTTCCCAATCCACCCCACTGTCTGGGACCCTTATAAGGAGATGCTGCAGGGGAGAGGCATTGCTGCAAGGGGAGAGACTGCCTTTGGAAAGAACCAGAGGAGGGGGCAAGAGCTTGTCCACCTGCTCTGTCCACCCACTTCCCCTGCCTAGGACACGTATGAGGAGGATCTGCCTGGAAAATGGCTGCCTGACCTGACGAGCTGAGGGGTGGGGAGGCATTATTTTCCCTCTGCTTTTGGTATTTTGAGGAGAGCTGCTTTCCGACAGCAGAAAGAATGTGTTTGAGATTGAAGATTTTTTTCATAAAGCTGCTCTTGAGATTACTGAGCAACTGCTGTCTGAAGCTTGCGTAAGTTGTGTCTTCTTGTGAGAGTTTAGTATTCACCCACACAATACGCTGAAAGCAAAATTCACCACACATTTAAAGCACTTGGCGTCCCCCAAAGAATCCTGAGAGCCATAATTTGGTAAGGGAGCTTGGAATTAAAGCTCTGTGAGGGGATATTACAGAGTTATTGGGCGAGGGTGAAGCTATGTGCTTTAAATGTGTGGTGAATGTCCTTTCAATATGTGGTGTGGATGTGACGTCCGCAATGGTGAGTATCTCTTTCTTTGATAGATCTTCCCTTTCCCCTGACAGGAGAAGAATTAGCAAGACACCAGAATCAGCTACTGGAGCAGAAGGGGAAACACCAGAAATCACTGCAGAGGGAGGAGCAGGAACAGGAGCAGAAGAAGGAAAAGTTGAGTGGATGAGAGTCCGGAAGGCTCAAGCCATGGCCAAGGGGAAGGCGCTTCTCTCTACCCTTCCCATAGAAAATGTTGCAAGTCTGGGCCAGGAAGGCATAGCAAAGCTGGCGAAAGCAAAGCTCAAAGAAGATCCAAGAGAAGGGCCTGCCAGCCTCAATATGATGAAAGTCCTTAAGTAGTCCCTCTCTTTCCAGTGGACTGTTTTCTGTTGTGGGGTCCTCTTTTCCACCTTGTTTTCCTTCAACCCTTTGTTTTCGTTTTGGACAACTTTGGACCACATGAAGCTGGGTCATCCCTGCAGGATGGGCAAAGGTCTCTGCTGCCTGGGATCAGACCCACAGTTCAACTTCAACCTGCCTCCTCCTTCCCATTAAGCAAGCAGGACTCTAACCACTGGGTTCCTCTCTACACCAGAGGACCAAGTCCCTGGCTGCCTTGCCTCACATCAAACAGTTGTCTTAAAAAATACAACGGCAGCAAGTTTTCTCTAGCTTGTTTTTGTAATTGTCTCCTAGAAATAGTACGTAGCTCAGGCCTCATACTGCTTACTCATAGAATGGTTGGAAGTTGGAAGGGACCCAAGGTTCATCTAGTCCAACCCCCTGCAATGCAGGAATCTCAGCTAAAGCATCCATGACAGATGGCCATCCAACATCTACTCCTCTCTTGACTGATCATATCTAGTACTTCCCTTCCTAGCTTTGTGTACCAACACTAGTAGATTATAAGAGCAGAGCAGTGAGGTGACCAAGCTTTCAGATGATTCCAAATTATTTAAGGCAATGAAAATCAACTGCAAATAACTTTGAAAGGTTCTCTCCCAACTGGGTGATAAGGCAACAAAATAGAAGATGTGGTAGGGAATGGAAACCAAAAAGGAAAGAGGAGGAATCAATTTTAAAGTGATTTAGAGACAGAATTTGATGCTTCTGACCCGATCAAGCTTTGCTCGCATCAGAAAGTCTCTTGTGTTGAACTTTCACTTACAGTATGTCCAAGCTAATTGTGCATTGCTATTTTTGCTGGTCTGACCACTTAAGATGCAAAAATGGGTAGAATAATAATAATAATAATAATAATAATAATAATAATAATAGTTATTATTTACCTACCCTTCATCCCAAGGTCCCAGGGCGGGTTACAACATTATATAGACAATGCATAGAAAAGAGTCAAGCCCCATACTGTACTATATTTGTGCAGCATAATTCTATCAGCCTCGATACATAAGTATTTTTATACAATTATATCCATTGTTGTAGTATCTATTTGTTTATGTGCTGGTTACCATAAGAAATATGGAGTGTACATGTGTATAATATTATGTTGTAGTATTATAATGCCCATGACATGCAAGAATTAATAATCCTCTTAGCAAAACTTGTTAGGAAAAACTTTCTCATGATCATGGAACAAGATGGGAACAAGAAAATATACGTGGATGGACTCAATACAGAGATTTTCACAAAATTTCATCCATATTTCAGTGTAAAGTGATGCACATCAAGGGAAACAAACTACTAAGCTAGCGGTGACTTACTAGGAAAGAGATATTGAGGTCAGGGCGGTGAAATCAATGAAATGCAGACTCAATGTGCAGCAGCAGCAGCTGTGGAAAAGCTAAGGATCGCTAGGAAAGGGATCACAAATGAAATTGCCATTATCGAAATGCGTGTATACAAATCTATGGTGAGAAACCACATTTAAAATATTATGCACATTTCTGGCTGCTGCATTTCAACAATATTGTGGAGCTGGAATGGGTGCACAAACCACGAACATGCTCAAGGTCTGGAGGTTGTGCTATGTCGTATGTTCCATAAAAACTTTCCCAGCATATTCATCAGAGCTGGGTGTGTGATTGTGAGAAGTGGTGAGAAACACACCCACAATCTTCAGTGGGGTGAAGAAATTCATAAGAACCTTGGGGGCAAGACTTGTTTCAGGCAAAGAAATTATTCTGCCACCCGCTGCTTTCTTCTTTTTTTTGAAAAAGTGATCAAGTTCTTATTAAAAAGAGACAAGACTTTTCCCAGAGTGAGCCTGGGCAAATCTCATATGAAGCTCCCCTTCCCCATCATTACTTAGTCTTCCATCGTTATAAAAACATTATTTCATTTCTTTACAAAAATTACCCTGATTTTGCACACATTCACCCATTTGCTGTAGGCCTCCCCCTCATGTATTAGTTGTTTCTATGATGCACAGGCCCACTCACATAGGATTATGACATCACTGGGTAAAAAAACCACATTTTCATAAGGAATAGTTTCAACTGGCTGGATGTTTTCAGCTGGGTGGTTGCTGAATATTATTTTCTATGAACAGAAGTGCCTATTACTTTCTTCCTGAATTTGTGCCTAGCCTTGGAGTAAAATAATTTTGCTGAGAAATACTTCTGCAAGTTATTGTAGACACTCCTGTTTAAATCTGCTATAGGGAAAGTTATTAGCTAGAATGTTATTTTATGCTTCTGTGGTTGAATATATTGTGTGTTTCATGAGTGTGTGTGTGAGAAAGGGGGGGAGCATAAAGAGTTGAATCTGTGTTATATGTTTTGTTGGTCCAATCAATTCCTACTAACTTTGTTGGTTCCTGCTCTATCCTGGTTCTTATGCCCTATCTGAATAGACTCAGATTGTACTGTCCTGATTCATGGTAGATTATGTGCCAACATGATGATCGGGTTGGGGAGGAAAATGGGGCTGGGGGACTCTAAATTCAAAGCTCAATTCAAGCTCCGCTTTGTGTAATTCTACACATATTGTTGGCTCACAGTTCCACACATAGAGCTGCCTATGAAAGCCCCATGGCAGACATTTGGGCAGGCACAACTCCAACCCACTGAAATAAAATATATCACCCTTTACGCTGTGATGCATCTCAGTAATCTTGTGTGCTTTACTTATTGTAGAAGCAAGCAGGGATGTTCATTTCTGTGAGATTATAAAGAGCAATGTGATGGATTTCTATTCCTGTTTTATTCTGAGAGACTTACATGTGTTTGTACTTCTCTGCAGCACTGTAACTGAGGATAGGTATCCTTGAAAGTGATTGTAATATATATGGTATTAGTTTTTCATTTCTCATGGGGAAAATCTTCTTTGCTGAAACGCAAAATTTGGTTTTGATCCAGAAAATGAAAAGCTGCTCTTCCTATTAGTAAATCCAAATACACTCGCAGTGGCAGGTGGATTGAAATGTTTGCTGCTGTTTCAGACTGCTACTTAAGAAAAAAGTAATGCAGTTTAGATCAAACATATATTTATGTAAGTGTTGTTAACATTATGCTACTTTCAGAACTCTATTTTTTCTGAATAAAGATTCTGGTATTTAATTACGAATTTATGTCAGTACTCTACCCTTCTGAATCTGTTTAGGATACTTTTTATGTCAGGGAGAAAAGATAACTGACAATTTCCCATATTGCCTCAATAACAAACTTTTTTGAGCCTATTTAGTGCCATTGTTTCCCCAACACCTGCCGTTTAGGCACATCCCTGAGGGCAAACGGACAAATGCGAATGAGGACAATCCTTATTGGATTAGTCATAAGGGTGTTCCGAACTATTCGAGGCTTTTGGACCGATCTAGGAGACATCACTATGCCAACCAATCATATCTGACTGTGAGATAGCTTCACCAACAGCAAATGAAATAGTTTAAAAGAGCTTGAAACACCCATATACCTTTAAAGGAACAGGTCTGTTTCTACAGCCATAATAAAAATTATCCAAAAAAGTGGGGACGGCATTTTCCACTTTCATTTTTAAAGCTGCATTTTCATGGTTAGTCATCCTGGTCTCTCGTGAGAGGAAGGGTGAGGCATAAGGAGATGAAGACGATGATGACAAAGAAACGATCACAACAAAAACTAAAACAGCAACAACAGTTAGTTAACTCTGAATAAAATGTTCCCTGAAAATGGTGTGTAGTTCAGACTTATTCCTAATTTTTACTCTAGAGGGGGAAATATAAGTGTGAAATGAATACACTATTAAGTAATATTGCAGGAGAGAGAAGCTTGAAGAGAAAGAAGTACCGTATATTGATCACATAGTTTGACCCTTTCTGTTTTGTTAAAGGAAAGGTCAAATAATTAGCATTTCACTTTTCCCGTGGCCTGAAGGTGGCCAATATAGTTGCATTTTCTGTAACATCACTTTGCACTGAAACTTTTGATAGGTAATATTATGGTGGTTTTTCCCCAAAAGCAATGGCTAAAGCCAGAGATCAAGATCAAGAATTCAAAATAAACACTCAGCTTTTTTTTTTTTTTTGTTACATTCTAGGATATGTTAGATATATATTCCTCCTGAATCTGTAGGCCATTTATTTATATGAAATGATATTCTATCTGAATATTTGAATAATGTTTCTGCTCTCTGTCAAGTGTAAAGGATGATTAAAATTACACTGCTTGGCATCTATAACCATAACACATGTAAATAAAGCTGACATGTGCAGGAGTCAGATAAATGCGGGGAAGCTCAAGTTTCCAAGCAGGTTGTCTGACCTTGGATAAAGAAAGCACAACAAGAGCAGTGGCTCTTTGAGTGGAAGGCTTTCTCTCTTCAAGCACACACACACACACACACACACACCCTCAATCCCCAATGATTTCCAGATCTGCTCCAGAAGTGATTGGAATGGTAAAAAAATAGAATAGGTTCCGTCTAGCCCCCCACACTGTTCACATCGCTATCACAAGCAGAAGCTGACTGCAATAGCATCCCCTCTTTCTGTGGTTCCCAGCAACTGCTATTCAGAGGCAAGTTGCCTCTGACTGTAGAGGCAGAACATAGCCATTGTGGCTAGGTTACACGTAAATAGGGTTAGGCCTGCAGCCTCTTAGTGGAACCCAGTTTATACTGAAACCAATGGGACTTAAGGCATGAATAGCTCGTCCCACTTATTTCAATGGGAACCAAGTTCAACAGACTGACAGTGCGATCTCATTCAAATTTTGTTTAGTTTAACAGCACTGTTCCCAGCTAAGTAAAGTACAGGACTGGGGTCTTAATCTGGACTCAGCTTCAATGAATAGAGATAGCATGGATCACATACTTGAATAAGCAGTTTTCACTGCAGTCTTCTTATTAAGAGAATGTCAAGCTTTGTGAATCAGTGTCAGTGTGAGAACAATGTGCTCATGCTCATACGCCCATGCATATATGCCATGGGTAGGCAAACTAAGGCCCGGGGGCCGGATCCGGCCCAATCGCCTTCTAAATCTGGCCCATGGACGGTCCAGGAATCAGTGTGTTTTTACATGAGTAGAATGTGTCATTTTATTTAAAATGCATCTCTGGGTTATTTGTGGGGCATAGGAATTCGTTCATTATTTCCCCCCCCCCCCAAATATAGTTGAGGCCCCCACAAGGTCTGAGGGACAGTGGACTGGCCCCCTGCTGAAAAAGTTTGCTGACCCCTGATATATGCTGTGTCCCTTCAATGAAGCCTGTTTGAATCCCATTTACTGCTGCCTGTTTAAATCCCATTTATTGGTATCTGCCTCTTCCTTCCCACCATGGCAACAAAAATGCAAAAGCAAAAATCATTCCGGCTGAGCAGTGTACTTCCTCTGCCTTGTAAAGCAATACAGCAAGCACTCTCTGGACTGACTGGTTTATTTAGAAGTGAGAATTTGAACAACAGATGCTTCGAGATTTGGGTCTTTTCATTCTTTTTGAAGGGACTGCCACCAATGTGTGAAATAAAGGTGTACCTGAGGAACTCTCTTCAATTTTCCATGACCTTTGACCGCCGGGGCAGGCGGGTGGCGCAATTTCCTCTGTAATTAAGAACATCCAGGCCTTTCCATGACATGTCTCTACCAATGGGAGCAATATCAGATTCCCATGTCCCCTAGCTAATTAGTCATTTCCACACATGTGTGGCTTGTCACCTTGCCAACATGCGTGAGACTGCATCTCCTATGGACTCTTTGGGATTGGCACTAAAAAAAAATCCCTCCAACATATATTACACTTTTCGTGTATATGATTATATTTGCAGAAGTAATCCCTGAACATTATAGAATGGACATCTCAACAGGATCACGTTCTAGAATATAAATAAATCTATTCCACAAGTATCATTAACAGCCAAGTGCTATGATTTGCAAATCATGAGAATGAAAGTGTTGTGCAATAATGACCGATTACATGCTTAATAAACTATTTACAGTATACATTATCTGCTCCCCTTTTTTATTAATTATGTTTAACTATATTTTGACTGATCTGTACAATAAAAAAAAAAAATATGGGGCAGGAGAATCCTGCGACTCCTGGTGCAAGGTGATGGAAAACTGTTAAGCAGAATCTACAGTAGACACAGCTTTTAATGCATACATACACAAATATATATGCCTTTTGTTTAACTTCTCCATAACACAGATAATTTTGGGTATTCTGGTTTGAATTAGCCCTAATCTATAACTGGCCTATTTATTGTAAACTGCTTAAGATAGCATCCGTTTTGAGTGAAGGGAGGCTGTAGTAGTACGGTACTACATATGCTACCCTAATTTTACCATAAGGAACATAATTATATATTTTTGTATCTCATTTTCTTTTGCTTTCAAGTCCCTTCATTCTGGCTGTATGTTTTACTGGGTTGTGCTTTTTCATTTTCATTTTCCCTGCATTCCCCCTCCCCACAGTAAAGAAAGAAAACATAATTCTGATAATTTCTTCTACTCTGCTTGCTGCCTTTAGATAATGTCCCAAAGCTCAGCCTTTTTATCTTGTTTACTTGATCATTTTTATTTTTTCTTCCTCTCAAGTGCTTGTAAAAACACATTAAATCAGAAAATTCTCCCCTATGGTAAAATCTTATTTGGATTTTCTGTTTAAATAAGGAGTTTATGTTAGGTCACATTAATAATGTTTCCAACATGTTTCCTTTCTGTCTAAAGAAGGGTCTAGGAAGATGTTGTTTTCATGACAAAAAGGAATGAAATATGAGGACAATAGTCAGAAATTAAGAGGAAGTCCTCTGATCCAAACCTTTGCTCATAGGAAGATGATGTCTCTTCCTCTTTCTTTGAAATTGACTAGTTTTGGGGAATTTGTATGGAAGACAATGGGATTTTAAATATTTGTAAAAAGTTATAAAGTCAATGTCTGCTTCTATTCCACTGAGGGCTGAGTAAGATCTCATACCCCATAAGATCTGAGACAGTGGCTATAACTTAAAGAATTAAAGGAAAATCTGAATTTCAGATGTAAAACCAGAAAATAGGCAATTTGAGAAGAGAAAGAAATGCAATGCATTTTGACCTCCATGGATTATCTATCATACTAGAAGTTTTTATATCAAACACACTTGGGCTAGATCTACTGATGGACCAAAGATCTACTCATGGAAGGATGGGCAGGCGGAGACGGGAGTTTCCGATGCCATTTCTCTCTGCAGCCCTCTGCTCTAGCTCAGGGATTCTGTGGAATAGCATGGGAGGGGAAGGAGGAGATCTCAAGAAGGAGAATCAGCAAAAACTGCATTCCCACTTATGTGGGAATCCACTTACAAAAGGTCTGCACTGGATCCAGCCTATTGTTCGTTGAACTTGTAGCTTAAACTTATAAGACTCTGGGTCTTGTAAGATGAACATCTAATTTAAGTATTAACACATATTACATATTAATCAGGAGTCCTGTTAAATTCAATAGGGCTTATTCCTGGTGCGTGGGTATATTCAATTGCAGTGCAAGTGAAGTATGCTCATAACTATTTCTAGCACTCATTTGTAACAATGCTGTGAATGTTTTTAATTACAAGGTTTCTTCATCAGCAAAGAAAGCAGAATGCAATTCTGCGCATGTGCAGTTGGCATACAGCCAATCGGCACCCAAAGCCAGCTGCTTTGTAGGCATATGTGCAAAAGTTTAAACCCCTTAACCTCACCGATAATCTCACTGATTGTTGTGAAATGAAATATGAACTACAATGCCAGTAAGTGCGCTTGCAGAATTTCTTTAATATTCTTCTCAGCGGAACGTTCACTGATTGCTGTTATTGACATGTCCAGACCACCCAACTAAAGCCTTTTCTTTGGCAAATGTCTACTCTATTTGAGTCACTTCTGTCTATTTCATACAAATGTTCGATGTGGTTTTTGTTCCTGGATATGGTTGTTTTGGGAAGAGAGGCAAGACGGCAAGATGAAAAGGTGCACACACACGACATGTTCTAAAAAAGCTCATACTGACAAAGTCAATACTGTAAGAAAGGGAGTTCACCCATCACTACTTATTTCCTCATTCACCTTGTCCAGTATGGCTTCATCCAGTACATGAAGGACTGATAAATCAGTGTGTAGTGGTTCTAGGGATTGCTCGTGCGTAAGCCGGTGCAAACACCTGGCTGGGTTGCCTGAGTTAACCTTTTCTGTCCGGACAGCCACTCACCCGTGGCTGTCTCAATCGCTGGCAGAATCCGTCAGTGGGCGTTTCTTAAACTTCTTCCAGCAAAGAAGCTCTTTGACGCCTAGACTCCTCCTACTCTCTCTGCGCGAAAGCCTTCTGCGCAAGGAGGGCGTAGGCAGCGGAGGACCCCTACTCTCCCCGCTGGTCCCCGGCAAGGAGTCATGGGACCGCCTCGCCGCTTCCCCCATCTGCCCCCCTTCTCCACTGGTGCTACGCTGATTCTCTTCCCCAGAGGATGGGCTGCCTCTCCCAATCCCGGGGCGCTCTCTGGAATCCCTCTGGATCTTGCTCTCTCCCTCTGGCACTGATGGCAGTTCCCTGACACAGTGTTTGAGTGTCTCAAAGCTTGGAATTCAAAGCTTTTTCATTCTTTTTCCACATAAGTCAGTCCAACTAAACTACCAATGGTTGGTCGACTTGGCAGAAAAAGGGCGAGGACCAAAGGTTAACTCCCTTGAAATGTATATTATTTTCTGCATTATTTTTAAAAAGCCAAAATTACAACAGAGGGGGGAGAGAAAGAGTGAATTTCAGTGCCACGGCACTTCATTCCTTACGGAAAACGAATATTCCAGAAGGAAGCTGGGCTGGCGAAGTCACACTCAGCCTGGAAGCTCTTTCCCTTCATTCTTCATCGAAAAGTAGCCAATTACTCAGTTGTAACTTGTAGGTTTCGGAGTAAATGGGAATACTGGGTTGAAAGCCGAGGAGTTTGCCTCAACATGAAGAGGCAGCTTGCCCACCCAACACTTTCAATAAACACAGATGGACTGTTTAGAGGCCTATGAAACATGTCCTAGATGACTAAGCCCATCTTTCAACACAGTTGAGTGTCTCCTAGAAATCCTTTTGAGAGGAAACATGGGAACATAGGAAACTGCATTAAACTGAGTCAGGCCCACTGGTGAATCTAGTTCAGTATTGTCCACATGGACTGGCACCGAATCTTCAGGATTCAGGATGGGGATATTCCCAGTCCTACCTGGATATAGTAGGAATCAAACCTCCTGGGACCTTCTGCATGCAAAGCCAATACCCTACCACTGAACTATGGTTCTTCTTTAAAATATAAAGGTGGTGCAGGGCACCCTCTCTTCCCTAGGACCTTCTAGCATGCAAATCGATGCTCTGCCACTGAGCTAGAGCCCATCCACAAGTGGGTCAATGCAGTGTCCTTCATGGGCATAGCCGCGAGGGGGGCAGAGAGGGGCAGCTGCCCCCCTAAATCAATAAAAATCAATAAAAATACATAGCTAACTGAGGTTCTCCCCCCCCAACAAAAGGCCTGCCCCCCATAACAAAAATCCTAGCTACGCCCATGGTGTCCTTGTTAGTGTCTGAAGGAACGTGGGAGTTTTGTTCCAGAGGGGGAAAGAAAGGCAAGACTCTTTTCAATAAACAATAAAAGGGAATTTGTTATTTCACTTTGTAATGTCAGAAGCACTCCCCAGCCTAAAAAAGCAATGTACACAAGGAAAGTGCAACATGACAGCGCTGCCCTCTGTTCATTTATAAGTGCCTTTTAAAAATATGCTTTCTCACTCTTTCTCCTTTCATAATTTCATACTGTACAAAAGTAATCTGTCCTTAACAACGTGGTTGCCAGGAGATGTGAGGTGCCCTTATACGGCCTTATGCTGGCCTACAAGCAGAAGCAACTGGCATTCGATATGTTGAGAGTTATCACACTTAGAACATAAACTTTGAGCTTCATCTCCAATTTTATAACGCCAATGTCGACTCAGTTTTGGAAATCCGCTCCTCCTTGCGAAGTCTGACAGCCAAAATGAAGTATTTCCATTGCTTTTTGTGTTGTTTCCTTCATAATTTGATCGTACCATCACATCTGAAGACTGATAGCTCTGCCAGGCGTTTTGATACTGGTGCCATTGCCAGCTGGAAAGGCCACTGAAGCCTGTTTGAAATTAACTGACCCAAATCCTGTTTTTCCTGGATGATTATATGAAAGGCATTGTACTTTTTATTACGTATTAACTAGAAAGCATGTTATCCCTGGCAGCATTTTGAAAGGTGGGGAAAAAAAACAGAAAAAGTTAGAGCTCTTCAAAAGAATAATATGTAGTGATTTCACATCATTACTGGATGCCCTCCCTCTCAATGAGAGAAAAAAAACTATTTGTTGGACCCCAAAGTGCTCTTCCACATGTAAAAGGTGTTTTTCACTCATGTAATGTCTCTTAAATTGCTTCTTCACACATTACTCTGAACACAGAGTGTCTTTGCACATGTGAAGGTGTTTGAAAGAGTTTACACTAGGCAGAGGGCCTTCTCAGTAGTGGCACCCTCCCTGTAGAACGCCCTCCCATTAGATATCAAGGAGATAAAGAACTGTGCAACTTTTAGAAGGCATCTGAAGGCAGCGGTGTATTGGGAAGTTTTTAAAGTTTGACATTTTACTATGTCTTTATGTGTAAGCTGTAAGCTGCCCAGAGTGGCTGGGCGGGGTATAATTATTATTATTATTATTATTATTATTATTATTATTACACTTGTTAATTTGTATAGCTCATCTACTGTGTTGTACATTCTTTGAATGTAGGATTGAGTGAATATGTTGGAGTCAATTTTGCCTTCTCACAGTTTCTCATTTTTCCAATCTGAGGTTCTCCACATTAATTTGCAATCCATTTTTTTAAAGCTTTGTTCATCAGCATTTCAGTGCAAATCTCCTTACACATTCTCGTATGGAATTTATCCTGATATATACATTTTTGAAAAGCATTTCCCCATAATACAATGGGGGTTTGTGTGTTATTTTCACTAATATATGAATCTACAGCCACACTGTATGATTTTTTTTGGTAAATAATACTTGGCTGGAGAAGTGCATTGCAAACTTCAGAGCAACACAAAGTTTGTGTGTTGTTTTGTAAAATGCAAATTAGTAAGTTCACCTTTAAATGTGAATTGAATTTCTCCCCTAACCCAGTTGAATGTAATGTGTGAACATGCCTAAGAATAGGAAGCTGGATCAGATGTCGGATCCATTTCATTGAGCATCCTATTAGTCTCTGTGGCGAACCAGATACCCATTAGCAAAGCATCATTTATCTGTGCCAGGTAAAAATTGTAACACAGGTCCCTTTCCATAACCCTTATAGGCCCTGTCTGTTATGAAAAATTTGAAGATTCGTGCTGTCGTTTAGCTTCTTTGGTTCCCATTGTTTAAAGTCTTTATATTTTGGCTCCCTGATTTGTGTACATATATCCTGACATGGCTCTTTATACAGTCATACCTCGGGTTACGAACGCTACGGGTTGCGCGTTTTCAGGTTGCAGACTGCGCCGAACCCAGAAGTACTGGAACAGGTTACTTCCGGGTTTCGGCGCTTGCAAACACAAAATGACATAATGCGCATGCGCAGAAGCACCGAATCGCATCATGCGTGTGTGCAGATGCAGCGCTTCAGGCTGCTTCAGGCTGCCTCCTGCACGGATCACGTTCGCAACCCGAGGAATGAATGTATAGTAATTATACAAGTCACAAATGCTTTTCAGTGCTTTCCCTGGGATCTAGTGTGAGTCTTTTATGCACTCTTAGACCATGACTGATGTTTGTAGGGGTCTCTTCAGCTAAAGAGAGGGGTATAAATACTTTAAACTAATGTTGGCCTCTTCTGCTTATGCTAAGAAAATGCCACCAGTAGAAATATGGGACTTACATTTCTCAAGCGAGTAGGTCATAGGTGGTGGCACAATTCTGTCTGTTGAACCACAAGTTGGACATCAGGGGTGTGGCCTTTCCGATGTTTTTGAACTGCAATTTCCATCATCTCTGACCATTGGCTGCTGGCTGGGCCTGATCGAAGTCAAAGAACATCCAGAAAGCCACTTAGTTTCCTCATGCTTAGTCTGGAAGTCCCTATACAATCGTGCGCTCTCTTCCTTTCTCTCTCTCCCCCTCCCCGCTCTCTTTGTGAGGCCTCTACTGTAGAAAAGGACCCAGGTTGAGCATGCTACAGAGAATATTGCTTGTTCTATTCTAATACCTCTTCCGATTGGCTCAGCAAGCCTTACAAGAACCGGACACCCTATACAGGGTGAAAAGTCTGTATGGATATCTTCAAGCAAGCAGCTGATTCCTAGCATAGTGTATTTTCAACTGCTAAGATGCAAAAAGATGGAATGAATGGTTGATTTTGCTGAGCACCCACTATATCTATGATTCCATCTTTCACAGAGCATATATTATTACTGTTGACACACGGCCACCTTTCAATTCATTCCAAAAGAAGCATTCTCAAATGGACGTTGACTGATTAAACAAGAAGTGCATTGCACAATATGGTAATTTGCAAAAAGCATTTTCCCTCCCTCCCTGCCCACCTGCCGTGTGTCAGGTGTCATTCACCAGCCCTGCACATGCTTTTCTGACACATTCTTGTTGGAGTCAGCACTGTGCTTTTGAGACTTTGGCCTGAATAGCTGGATGACCGGCTGAAGCTGCTCACCAGCTCCGATCACATGTTATCAGTGAAACTTTTTCTGCTGCGTTTGTTTCCTTTCATTGTGTCCTCAGGCTGACCATTTCCTGCCAATGTCCTTTAAGCAACGAACATACAGTGAAGATCAGGGTCAGTCCTCTCGCTGCTTAATCTTCACTCATGGATTGCAAAGATAATGGTTTTAGTAATAATAATAATAATAATAGGAAAAATAAGAATGACAACTTTCTCTTTCTGTGTGCTGCTTTCTAAAATGACTGGAAGAACTTCTATTAAGAACAACTGCTGAAATACTTTTTAACAATATCTGTCTTGGTTTTAATGTGCAGAATAGAATATGCAGAATAAGACCGCCTAGTATAGTGCACTGACATGGAAGCCAAGTACATTCAAATGTTGTCTAATATCTGAAGGCATGCCAACAGAATTTAATTTTTAATTTAAATAAATCTCTTTTGAAAGCCTTGCCGAACTGTGTATGGAGCATTCCAATCTAGTGTTCTCCACACACTATGTCACATTCCCCCTGTATCATCATCATCATCAAAATATCTAGTTTATATAGCCTCACAGCAATCATTTATTAAATCAAAATAGGTCTCTGTCAAAGTGAATATTTTATTGATTGAACTAAAAAGTCATAATTTCTAGTCTTACTGTCTCATGATCATCTGTTCACCACTTAGCTGGCCAGATAAGACATGTAGAATGACTGTAGCCATTTATTACTTGAAGATACTGGAATTTGGGCCTACTTTATTTAACAGAAAGATGGATAATGGTCCTACTACAACCATATGCCTGAGCAGCAGTGATGTCTAGCAGTGCAAGGCAGGTTATTGGAAACATAAATCCATTGTTTGGGTGGAGGAAAATAACTTTAATCCAATCTTCTTTCCCCACATTCTACCCTCCTACCTCTGAATATATGGTTTGTGTTATTGCCAGTAATCTGCCTGTTGTGCACACCCAGGCTGTAGTTGCTGGACAAGCCTTTCTGGAATCAGGAATTCTGCACACAGTGAATCCTTATAGCTATCCATATGGCCTCAGTTGGATCACAGTGAATATGAGCATTTGAGTACATAGCTGCCCAATACTGTAGCTCTCCTACTGATGATTCAAGTATCTTAATTTGCTAGCTATCAACTCTGCTTATAAACAGGGTAATAGCATCATAATCTTGTTCAAGAGAGAATGTGCTACACAAATTCTTCCTGAGCAAGAAGTACTTGTTCTGTACTGTCCCGGGAAAGAGCAGGGTGAACACTGATGCACATCAGCGCATGCAGTTTCATAGATTGATCCCCAGGCTTCATATGGCATTTGATGTCAATTGCTGAGGTTGCACAGGACATTTGGCATCTAATGAAATCCTACAAAAGAAATGGGGAAAGTGATCAGCTACCCATTTGCAAAAGAGCAATAAATCTTCTCCATGCATTTTCATTTTCGTTTTGTGCAACCTTTTTCTAGGCTGATTTTCTTATCAGAGTTTGTACATCATGGATATCTCTGTAATGTTTTTGTACATAATCTGTATAGGCAATATATGTTTTACTATTTAGGATTTAGTTCTCTGAGCTGCCTGCCTGACTTCCTGAATCTGAGGCAGCGCTCTCTCCTTTTTAAAAGTCGTGTGTTGCAGCTGTGTCTTGCAATTGTTTAATTGCCCACAGCTTCTTTTTATGAAGGTGCTAACCAGCCCAAACCACCATAACCTAATAATTGCAATTCAACAACACTCTTTCCTCGTACTTCTGTTCATTTTTATTTTTTTTAACTTGGCAGGCAAGGCTGTGGAAACGAATCAGTACACAATGGCTTCGAAATCCCTAAAGTTTATTCACCCAAGAGTAAAAGCCATTTCAGTATCCAGCACGATCTAAATTGTATAGAGATCTAAGGAGGTGAAAGGTGGGACCAGGTGGATCCAACAGAAAGGGAGGGGCCAGAGAATGCACTCTCAGTCTCTCCTGCACACAATTGAAACTGCAAGGGGGTTTCATGCTTGAACAGGGCTATAAGATAAGAGTGGCGGAAAGTGGCCATTCCCAGGTAAAATCTCTCTTGAAAAAGATTCAAAAAGGTGCCTACAGGAGGCTCCGTGCTTCACATAAAGGGTGTTCACATGTTACATTCCATGAGAGTACAATCAAGGCGTCTGTGTAAACAAGTTGTAGATCTGTACACTCATACAGTAACTCACATGTAGCATTCAATCAGGGTACAGTCTCTGTAGGTAGTAGCTGAGCTGTACAAATCAACAAGTGTACACTTTTCCACACAAACACTTCTACCTGTGAAGAGACAGCTTGTGCTTGTGTTCAGAGTAATGTGTGAACACACCTTCAATCACCCTCCAATCTATGGAGGTTGAAGAGAAAACCAAGTGGTGCTGTCTGAATTAGGGTTGTTCTCATTGCCCCCTCACACGTTTGCTATGTACAGTGTGACTGTGTGTGTGGTGTGCAGTCACCCGAGCTCCAAGCATGCCATCTGACCTTACCAGAGAACTAGGCCAATGTGAATGCTAGAAAATCTTACACATAATTCCAATCTCAGGTGCCCTGCCAAATATTTTTCCTTAACGGTTGGCAAGTATACAGAAGCAATCAGCATATCATTTAACATAAAGCAGAGGGAGACTTGCAGAGATGTTTATTCAGAGGTGCTTTTAGGGAGATACGCTCCTTAAGTATGCTCCTACTGGGCTCACAGTCTCCTTATCTCTCATCTTGTCAATTGCACTGACAAGTGAGGATCCAGGGGAGCTCCCATAAGCTCCTTTGTACCTTTCGCAGCTCTTCCCCAAGCTGAATGCTCTGCTCAGGCGGACCACCCACAGACACAGACATCACTTCCCACTGGCAACTTGCCAGGCAGCAAACAATCAGCCACACCACCATATTAGCCTCTACACACACACACACACACACACACACACACACACACACCGCCCTCACATAACTCCAAACCAAAGGAGGCAAGAGCCTGCCCAGCCTTCCAGGTGATAGGTGCCACAGGTTTCTAGCAGCCTAGATGTCTACACTAGGAAGCTCCTTCTTCTTGCTTGCACTAGGCCCCACAGAAGTCTCAGATTTGCCCTTTGTGTGCCGTACGTATCTTAGATCAATTGAAGTGTCCTTAGTACTGGAATTTTTAGGAATGGGTGTGTTGTGGTGGAGGGCAGGCGGGCGACACTCTTCCTTGGAAGCAGCATCATTAGCATCTTGAATGGAACAAGTCATTTGACGCTAAGCCAAAAGGAAACTGCTTCCTCTCATAAAATTATAGTTTCCTGGTAGACAGAGTGTTACCCACAAGACTGCTTGCTTGCAGTCCTCCTGTTTGGAGTTCATCTGAAGCCAATTGTGCAGAGAATTCTTTCCAGCTGTGTTTGGCATTATCTCTAAACTGATCGGTGAATTTGGTCCTGCAATGATCATTAGAAATCTAAGAAAATGTAAAGCAGCTTTTGGGGACCGCCACTCATGTTACAGAAACTTTGGCTTGGCTTATACATCACACTAAGACAAACCATGGCTTGGCACAAATGTGTGATTGTGGCCTGTTTCCCCATTCACGTAGTCAGGTCCACATGAGGCCCCTTCCCATCTGAGCATTACCCTGGACTTACTCCCATTTAAATGTGCCCCCCCCCCATGGTTGGAAATTTCAAATTTGGAAAACCACACATATAAACTGGGAAAGGTCCTAGACATCGTTGGACTGGGGAGGGGGGTCCACATTTTGTTCTGGTGCGGACAAGCCCTAAGAGTCAACTACCTGTTGAACTGACTTCTGTACATGGGAGGGGAGGGGACACCATCTTGTCCTTTGCATCAGAAAATGTCAACAGCTAACCCTGTACACTTCCTGGGCCAAGGAATTTGCTTGCTTGCTTGTTTTTTAAAAATGTATCTATACCACTAATTCATATAAAACAGTAAGGCAGTACACAGCAAGATATAATGTAAGACATGCAACATCGTAAGAACAATACATAATAATCACTAAAATGATTGGCTAAGCATTAACTTAAAGCAGCTGCATAGGCCTAGGGGCATAAAAGTCTTTAAGAGATGCCCCAAAGTCAATAGGGAAGATGTCATTATATACCTTTCAAGGTGTGTTATAACTGGCTGCAGAGCTGGTCAGGATGTGATTATTTATTTTGCCAGTGGGAATAGAGAGTAAGGAGCACAGGTGCAATATTGAATAAAATATTTCAGGGGGGTCCAGGTAAGACCAGCCCTGCATAATCGATCACATGACACAATGCACACACACACCATTTGAATGGGAATGCCCATCAACTTTGCATGGGCCTGACCCCCTCAAATATTTTATTATGGGGGCCGGAGCCTCCACGGCCCCTAGGGGCTGTGTCTCCTATGGGAAAGGCACAGCAGTTGTCTGGGACTTCCTTTGAACCCAGTTTTTACTAATACCACTTATTTTAGTAGCAAAATGTTCCACCACTATCAGGTGTCGGGCTGAACCCTGAGAGAGCCCAGAATTCTGGCTTAACCTTCCCCCCAGGCCCTCCAGTACCATTTCATGTTCCTCCTTAGGCAAGCAGAGTCCCGACCTCCCATGGGCGCATGGTTATTACCTCACTGGCAGCATGGTGCCCCAACAGGACAAGAGGCTTTAAAAGCAATCCTACCCTGCCCAGGGAGTTTACCTCAAGGTTAGGATCACTTCCGTCAGCTTTCCACAGGCAACTGTCAAAAAGAAGAAAAAAAAGGGGGGGGAGCTGTCACAAAAAACTTTAAAAAAAATATAAAGAAGTTTTTACCTTCCTGGCTTTTTCTTATTGCTGAGAGTTAGATTTTAGTTTTATCTTTGTGGAACATAAACAAAGATTCGGTATCTCATCTGGATTAGTTTCACAGCTTTTCTTTTAATCAAAAAACTTGGTGACCTGCTTAAAATACAATCTCGGCAGAGTTTTCTTTGGCCTGTCTGCCTCTCTCTTGACTTGACACCAGCAAGATCAAGCCATGGAAGACTGTCAGCACAAGGGATATCCTTTCAAAAACAGGACACAGTTTTCTACTTTTTATTGTTAAGCATTTTTAAAAAACAAAACGTTCCTTTTCTCCCTCTGCCTTCAATATTCTGGATTTTTTTCATTTATACCAAGAGATGACAAGCTGGTATTGTTGGTTATTGCGAGGGAGCGGTGATTTATTCATAATTTATTGGGCTGATAAATTCATTTTAATTTGTACAAACTGTCTGTTTGAAAATAACCCAGAGCTTTTGAAAAGCACAAAGCACTCCGAGTTCAAAACTTGCCATAGACTTGTGTAAACAAAATGTACCCAGATAATTTTAGAGCAGAAACAAATCCTGACTTCAGAAATGAGTGCAGATGTTCCTTTTTGACATATACAAATCTGCAGCTTGATCATTTCTTTACATTAGGCATGGGGAACTTCTGGTTCTCCAGACATAGTTGGACTCCACCTCCCATCAGCACCAACCACTGGCTATGCTGACTGGGCCTTATGGGAGTTCATGTTCACATCTGAAGGGCCACAGATACCTCTCAACCTGGATTTACATACATGTATGCTAGTGGCCAGCCTTAATTTTCCTTGTTGTTTGTGACACTGAAGCCTCTCAATGAATGCCACATGCCTCACTTGGTTTCCTTACCTAATCTGGTCCTTTTAGCATCACTTTTTAATTAGAATGCCCAGTTAGTCATTTGCACATTTGGTCTACTATTACCCATGTTGATGTAACCAAGTCCATAGACTGTATGTATCTCAATAGTCTCCAGACTGTATGTATCTCAATAGTGTTCTTTTTGTCCTCTGTTGGATACATGAAAGCTTTCCTCCATTGTTTCTGGAGTCTGGACTCCATCAGCATTTTAGTGTGAGATGCTCCTAATATATACCTTTTTGTATACAGTTTCCCCTAATATAATGTATTTTTGCACGTAATTTTCGCCAATCCATTTTTATGCTCACTTTACTCCATCAAACGTATATCTGTATGCATCGTTTGAGAAGTGCATTGACAAATTCAGAGAAGTGCCATTTTGGAAGGATGGCTGTGTTTCTGTTCTCAGATTGTTCCAGAAACTGTGATTCGGGTAAATTTACCTTTACATGTGATACAAATCAAATTTCTCCTCCAACCCTAATTGTAACCACTAATAATCGATGATGGAGCTGGTGGGCTGGTGGTGACTGGAGCTTCTGGTTCCTCCAGACTTGTACACCACCTACCAGCCACTACTGAAGCCCGGGCCATCTGCACTTCATTTCAGTAATTAAAATGGTGTCACAGAATATAACTTGCTTTGTTAACAGTTGGAGAAGACAGTTGCAAAACTTTTAAAGTATGTAACCAAATTAGTGCCTGTAATTTAATTCAGATGGCCTGAACTGACACTGTACTACAAATTTATAGAAGGAATAAAAGTACTCACGCACAATTAAAGTGAGAGTTACTATGTTGATTATTTTCAACTGAATCAAGGCAGAAGTATCTGAAGAACAAGAGCCTTTGGTTAAGATCTTGCTGATCGCAGCCAGAGTAGTTTGGGCTCAAGAAGTGGAAAGAGTCTCTGGTTCCAGCTGGATGAGAAAGGCTATGGAAATGTCTTCAAGTTAACAGAAATGGACCAATTGGCTGGTTTGATTTACAAGAGGAATGGTATGTTTTATAATTTGTTGGGAGGTGGGCGTTTGCGAATTATTGTAATGCAAATTTTTGAAAGGTAAGACCCGAAAGACATTTATTTGTGCAAAGTATTATTTGTGCATATTTTGATGTGTGTGTGTGTGTATATATATATATATATATATATGGATGGAGAGAGTTACTCCATGCATGAAGAGCTGCACAGAATAAGGCAGGAAGGCAGGAATATTAGTCAGAAACAAATGAGCAGGAAAGAGATGAACTTGTGAAGAAAATAAAGAGGCTAATATGAGAAAATCCCCCGTGTAAGAAAATACGCTTGTGCTGATTTCAAATTGGCTCCAAAAGAAAATACTGGAGAACAGGAGGGTAGATAGAAAATACCTTCAAAAGAATATCTGGGGGCTCTAAGTGGCTGTGGAGGCAGGGGCATACACCTGTCCCACCCAAAAAGTCCCTCCTTTCCCAACAAACAAGATCTGGCCGACTGCTATAAGAACATAAGGCAGAACTTCTGACCTGATTCAGCCAATTCTGATGTTGTTACGACACAGCCGTGTGGCCACATAGCCACATAACCCACCAAGATAGTCTGCTGTCTTCGGGAGCCATGGAGAATGCTGACCTGCCCCCCAGGGTCAAAGTACAATTCGAATGTGGTTGGATTTTGTACATGGAACAGGGCGAAGCGCCAACTTGACCTTTGCTTCAAGTAGCAAAATATCGGGTCAGCTCTAAGTGACTGTACCCTTGCTCTTGCAGTTGTCTGGATGAAGCTGCTGATTCACAACTACTGCAAAATCCGAGAACAAAACTCATTTTGCTGATTTGTCAGTGGCTGCCTCCCATTATGGCATTTTAGTTGCATAAAAAGCAATGGAACCATCATATATATAAATATATATATATATATATATATATATATATAGGATCAGAAATGTGGCTTTGAGATGGGAATTGCAGTGTAAGGTTTCTCTCTCCTTTTGTTGGGAAATAGCCAGTGGCAGTTGGTTATCCTAGTAACGTCTCAGTGTTCTGAGATTCACCCAAAAAGAATGTTCATATTCCTTAGAGACGGTTAGGGGAATCAAGCAATGGAGAAAAGGTGCTGTTTTATAGATAGTGAACAGTCAATACTGAAAAGGAAAGAAAGTTCATCCCAAAATCCTCTGATACTTGTCACATTCACTTATTTATTTATTTATTTATTGTCCAGATAGTCCCCAGATAAGTTGCAGTGTAAAATATATGGTGCATCATGGTCACTAATGCTTCAGTTGCAATATACTGTCATATGGTAGATATATTTCTACATGAGCAGAACATACAAGAGAACATGAGCATTTTTATTGGGCGTGAAGTGATAACTGAATGTTGACCTATTAGTGTGAATGTCAAAAACCAACAGTTGTGTAAAGTTGTGTAAATATCTTTCCATCAAGCCATCACCCTCCTACAGTTGAATGAGACATGAAACAGGAATTAAATGCTAGCATTTATTGACAGGTGGCCTTGCTCAAATGTTTTTCTGTTCCTTGATTCCTGGGAAGACATCCTGGGTCTCTTGATGGAAAATTTGCTTCAATTTCATGTTTGGTGGAAGTTTTAGAAAGGTCAGCTTTTCAGATCAAGAACAGAGAAGACCATGAAGAGGGAATTTAGTCGTGTCTCCTCTTCCTCTGCCTCTTGAGACCATGGGACCTGTGACCTGGAAAAGAGACAGAAAACACCATCAATACTTAGTACGCTTAATAACCTGAATGCTCCTTCAGAAATAAATCACATTTTTATGAGTGGAGGCTGCCAACTGCCAGATTTGTTACAAAGCTGTAGCACCCCTCTAGTTTAAGTGATGCACAAAAGTCTTCACCTCTCTTTGTTTTCCCAGGCTGTCTCCTTTTTCCTCCAGATCCACCTCCATGACGTCTCTTTTGTGGCTTTCTGCGGTGGCAACGGGTCATGCTCCTGATTGGTCTGAATTTTGCCATGTCTGTTACTGTGCTTCCCCTTTGAGCTCTTAGCAACTGGAGCACCACCCGCCTTGATGGGCCTTTCAGAGGTTGTGAACTGTAGTGGCACCACTTGGCTTTCCACACCCCTCCCCTGGAAACTAGTGACCAAGTCTAACAAAGGCTGATGATGTATCAGGTCAACTCAGTTGTGATGAAATACAATGGGTGAACCCTTATATGGAGATCTGTATTCTGTCCACATGATTGACCATATAAGGGAAATTACAGTAGCACTATCATCGACTTAAGAGTCATTAACTCAGTAGATTTCACAAAAACCTCTAGGAAAAATCCTAAATGTTTTATTAAAACCCACAAAGGTTTGAAATCCTCATATTGCCCCTTCCATATGTTTTTGTCCGCCGCCAGGAAAATCATAGAAAGAAGAAATAACTTATTTTCATGGCTGACATAAAATAGGGAATTTTCCACCTGTATTTTGGAGTTTTGAAAGGATATTAATACAAAAGGTAGTTGAGACTCTCAAGTATGGCATCCCTGAAACATTTATAGGTGGGAAAACTCCACATTTTTCTATTTAAGGTGAATTTATGTGAATTGTACACTAAGGTGGTGATGTAAAAATAATGTTGAGATTTTGTTTAAAATGCCATCCCGTGGGTGACAGAATACAGCACGAATTTTATATAAAAACTATGTGCAAAGCCATGGAGTAAAATTTATCTGTCTTTTATGTGCCAGTATTAGAAAAAGGGGGATCCATTGATTGCCAGATTCCACCTGAAGAGAGAGTCTGCCCATGCGGGCATATGTGCCTGAAGATTTACCCAACTATTTACTTGTTTGCCCAATTTATGAGGACTTATGAACAGCCTTGTCCAAATATTTAAATCTCTCAGGTGACAGATCAATGGGGTACCTGAATAATTTTTTATTATGGGACAGGTTACCTTAACATTTCTGAAAAGGTAGCTTGTTTTGCCCTTGTGTCATTTGTTACTAAATCTCAAAAAATATTCCAAAACATTTATCGTCCTTTACAATTTCTTTCCCAAAATTTCTTCTTGACTTCCCACCCCTCCTTTCCTGATGTTTTGCCTTTAGAGTTGCACCTAGAGAAAGGTTTGTAGGAATGACAAGTTAATTTCTTCAGAGGAGCAAATATTTATTTCACCCAATACCCAGTTTTAATTGTAATGTATTTTGTTTTATGTGTGTCTTGCTTTGTAATGGCTTTTGCTACACACAACAGCAGAAAAAGTCATATGTTAAGACATTGTCCTGGTATTATCCCAATGCAGTGGGGGTTCAGCTAAAATATTATGCTCGGGGTATCTTGTATAGAAAGCAGGATAAAAATGTTTTAACATAGTAAGAAATTGGAGTTACAGTTTTATGAAAACAGTGTAGCCAGATACCAGATATATTTACCAGTTTTAATTCCTATTGTACCAAAACTCCAGAAACCTCAGCAAAGTGAATTTCTTTATCTAAGGGGGCTTACTTACTATGTGAATTGTCTCCTATATTTAAAAGCATTTACAAACCACATTTTTAAAAATAAAAAATAAAAATGTCTACAGCATTAAAACAATGTCAGTAAAACAAAATTACAACACAAAAACCAGTAAAACAGTGGCCTAGAAGCATATAAAAACAAGAATTTAGGGGAATTTGGAGAAATGAAGACCGTCTGCTCTTATGGGTCAGGGAAAGCTTGGGTAAAAACATGTCTTTTCAAGATGTCTGAAGCAACTGATGGACAAGATGCATATTCTAAATGTCCTGGTCCCCCAAATAATATGTGCACATTTGTTCTAGTGCCACCCAGGTTTTGTGCTTATATTTCCCACCATCACCACCACCTTAAAATACACCAGTGACAAAATCCAAAGACAATGATGAAAATAAAACTGAACTTTCTTTTTCGGTGAGATTTCCATGTTCTGGCTGTTCATTAGCAATGTGTCCTTTCTCCAAGATTGTGATTTCATTTTTCTATCTTGCTGCCTCTTCCTTCAATAACTTGAAATCACTCCATTTCAGAGTGCAGGATACAAATGGAACCTCTCTATGCCATAGCTCATCCCTACCAGTCAACAGTCCACAGACTCAGCTATACAGCTGCAAATGAAACGCTTTAAGTGTGTTGTAAAATACAATATACAAATGTGACACTAGATTGTGACAGTAAGCTATGGCAAATTCAATGTTATTTTTTTAAGCTTTTTTAAAAAGGCATTTTTACAGTGTTTTTATATGTGTGTAGATTCCACCCACATCAATCTCAACTGCTGTGGTGACCTCTGCTGTGCTCCATAGGATATTGGCAGTGCTAAAGTTTAAAAGTATTACCTGCATTCTATTACTGGAAAAAAAATGGGGGGGGGGAGTGTAGCAAAGTTTTGAGTTGTGAGTTTGCCCATACCTTGAGGTCTTAAAGTATTAAAGAACCTGATCCTATGTGTGTCCAATCAGTAGTCACATTCCACAGTGTTCAATGGGAGCTTACTGCCAAGTAGGTGTAGAACTGTGGCCTTAGGATACAACCTTGTTTATTCAGTATTCGGGAGCATTGCAGACCTACTGCGCCACTGGACCTCTGTGCTGAAGATCACGTTTTAAAATAGAGCAACATCTCTTATTTTTGTTACCTTCCCTATTCCTTCCCACAGTATGCCCTAATGAATGAAACAAAGAGGCAAATAAAATGTCCAATGTTTTATTGACAGGTGGTTTGTTCAAATTGTTTCAGCCTCCTTGATGGTGGGGAAGTCATCCTGGGTGTTTCTGAGAAGGTTTGTGTCTTTTTTGTTCTGTTTCGCAGGTGCTCCAGAGGCAAGCGGTGTGGGGAATCAGGGGATGCCAGAGACGATGAAGAGGGACTTTTATTTAGTCCTTCTTGTGTCGTCTCCTCCTCCTCCTGTGACCTCCCTTTTTACCTAGACAGACACAGAAAACAAAGACACTGTCACTTCCTATGCCTCAGTTATGGTACAAAGCAGCCATTACTACACAGCCATTATTACATATTTTTCCAAACGTGTACTTAACAACTCCCTACCTTTCCCTTTCCTGCCACGTCGCCGTCCGCGTTTCTTTCCACCTTTGCCACCATGTCGCCGCCGACGGCGACGGCGACTGAGGCTTCTGCTCCGGCTGCGTCTGAATCTTGCCATTTCAGATGGTGTCTTTTGTCTTTCAAGCTCTTTGCAGCTGGAGCACCACCTGCTCTTGATGGGCCTTTGAGAGCTTAAGGCTTGAGCTGGCCATCGCTGGCTCTTTTATAGCCAGAAGACAATGGCCAATGACACGTTACCCAACTGTGATGTAATACAATGGGTGACCTTTGCATGCAGCCAGCCAATAACCAGGTTTGTATATATGGCCAATTTATCCAGCAAGGCAGTTTCAGCATCCACTCACCTGTCCTTGATCCCATTCCTTGATCCCCAAAAGGATCTGCATGCCTTATTACATGCTGCTTTCTAGGGATGAAAGATAAATTCAATGCTGTTCTCATTTGAAAGTGGACTTATCAAACACACACTTCACAATGTATGAACCAAAGCACAAGCATATTTTGAAATGATCACTTCTCCAAATTCTTCAGCCAAAAAACTCCATCCAGAAATCCATATACTAATTGAAAATAACATGTAAAACTGAATTATACTAAGGGACGTTGCAAAAAAGTGTCCATTAAAGAAAAGTGCATATACATGTGTGTATATTAGGAGACATTTTCTCTAAAATGCTGATGAATTTTTATGAGAGCGGTTTAAGAAAAAAAAATCACAAACTGATGCGGACATGTGGAGAATTGAACTTAGAACTGGAAAAATAAGAAATGGAGAGGAACCAACATTGACAGATTAATTCATCCTTATTTTCTACAGTTGCCCACTAAAACCTCTGCATACACCCAAATTATGTTCACTGATTTGGGAACAAAATGTTTTAATTTAAAAGTATGAGAGGTCTTGACCAATCATCAAAAAGCATGCAGTGATGGATGAATATATGTTGCGAGCAGAAGACCTCTCTCTGATCCGACCATTTGTGTAGAAAGAAAACTTTGCCAACACAAAAAATAAATGTTCATAAACTTTACTTGTGGAACTCAGTTTAAATGTTACAATACCTGTTACATTTTGTAATCTTACAAATTCCATCTACATTGCTCTAATATAATACAGTTTTACATGTGAGTACCTTAGGACTAACATGGAACAGACTTGTAGCTCAGAAATGTTTTTATTCATATATATTCTAGGTTGTCTTCTTATGGCTAGTTAAGGCAACCTTCCAATCCATGCTTTGGAGGATTAAAAAATGAGCCCAGGCAATCTCTTGGGGGAAGGACCTCAGCTCAATTGTAGATTATCTAATCCCTAGAATCTCAAGGTAGGACTGGGAACAACCCTGTCTGGAGCCTTGGAGAGGTGTTTATTTAATGTAGAGATGCTATTCGGCTCTAACTCCCAACAGCTCCAGCTAACATGACGAGTGGTCAGAGATGGGAGTTGTAATCCAAAAATATATGTATGGAGGGCCACATGTTCCTCATCCTTGCCTTAATGCTTTACTTGCTAAGATATCTGTATCATGCAGTCTGCTGTAGGATAGTGGTTAAGAGCATCAATTTTCACTTTTACTGAAATAGGTAGTCTCAAACTCTATTCTTTCCTTTTCAGCAAACATAAGGAATAATCCATGGCATTGTAATACTGAAGCTTGAGATTTGAGTCCCAGAATATTCACAAGACTTATGTTCTAGCCTGAAGGTTCAAACATTTTTAAGCTTCACTTGAGGTAGATTTTCAATCAGTAAAGGAAATCCTACTGGCACCATGAGTATGTATTGGAGATAACTTGAAATGTGTTATCACTTACATAACAGCCACATATGAAAAGGATGTAGGGTGTCAAACCATGTTTGGCCATTTTTATTAGTCAAAGCTGATTTCTCAAAGTAGATGAATGTGTGGAATTGTTTGTTTGGGAAATGATTGCTTCCAAGATTATTTACATTTGGGATGTTGTTGGTTTTTTAAAAATTGTCTTAACTATACATGAATTAGTGAAGCTACACTAACACACCTTCTCCATTTTTAAGCCCATGGGTTGGTTCTGAATGCTATGTAATATTTGGTTAAGCTTAATGAAAAACCAGGAATGAGACTATGCCTCCATTTATCTAATATTTTAAAGGTAATAATCACAAGATGTTGTGGTATTATCTTGGGTCAATTTGTCCCATACCATCCAAAACCTCAGCTTGTTCCAATTGTTTCCAGCGTCTTTTCGGTTAGGCACTACCAAGGATCCTTAGCTCATTGTCTTTTGTAAAATTGGTTCAATTATGAGCCTTTGTCATCTGAGTAGCACATGTTCTCTACATGAATAGACCTAAGAACATTAATTCATACCACTAAAACTCATGCAAACTTTGAAAGGTTTGTAAGGGTCCTGTCTATTAATAAATTTGAGAATTTATTGAAATCAAAATAAATGACTTCGCAACTCCCATCTGTTGTGCAGAATCTGGCACCGATCACTTTGTTTGCCAAAATTATTCACATTGTCCATCACCTTTGGGTTTGGCTTGTTGCTTCAGTTTTCTGTACACCTTATACCTTGAATGTGTGCCCTGAGAGGTTAACTGATGTGATAATGCTTTTGAGATTACCAAGTGCTATTATATTTGTAAATAAGAAAATGACAAGATAAACCTCCCACCCTCTTTCTCATTTATACCATTGGAATTTTAAATGTGTACTGGGAGCCAAGCTGACAGTTTTCAGATCACCCAGGATGGAAAAACCTGAGTTGCCCACTGCTGTTTTCTAAGAACATTACTGTAACGCCAACATCTATAATTTTGCTTTGCTGTGTACAACTTTCCCCACAAAAAGCATGGACTCAAAAAAATGAAATGTCAGCATTTATTGACAGGTGGCAAGTTTCAAATTGTTTCAGGCTCCCTGGTTCTTGGACATTCTTCCTTTTTTTGGTTTTTGTTTCAAGGGGTGGTTTTGTTTGACTTTGTTTTTCACTGGAGGCTTTGCTGAGGTGAATGACCCGGAATCAAGGGCAGAGGACACAGGAAAGGGAGTCATTTAGTGTCTTCTTCCTCTCCCTCTTCTGCGACGACCTTTCCCCCTTCCTGGAAATAAACATAACAAGCACCAGTTATTTAATGTAACCCATTAGACCTGTGGTATATAGTGATAATGTTAAATGTCCTAAATGGGTATGGTGTAGGGTTTTGGGATTTTTTCTTACCTCTCCTCCTCCCACGTCGCCTTCCCCGCCTCCTTCCAGATCCACTCGCTTGGCTGGCCTTTCGCCTCCTTCGGCGAGTTAGGCTCCGGCTCCGGCTGCGTCTGAATCTGGCCATTCTGATGGTGATCTTGTCCTTCCGAGCTCTTGGCAGCTGGAGCACCACCTGTCCTTGATGGGCCTTTCAGAGCTGGTGATTTGCTGGGGGCATCTCTGCCCATTTATTAAGCCAAGCGCAGCACCTCACAAAGGCTTGTGATGTCATGCCCTCCTTTGTGATGAAACGTAGTGTGTGACCCTTACTGCCGTGTAACAGTATACTCATCTCAAGGCAGGGCAAAAGAAAGGGCAGGCAGGCAAGCAGGGTTGCACCTCAAACATTTACATACGCATGGGTTTCAAATACGTGCCCCAATTTAAAGCCATTTCCCAAATAATGTAAGAAATGAAATAAAACCAGACAGAAATAATAATGGCACCGACAGTAAAAAAATAACTGAGGAACGGGGGGCGGAGGGGAAGTTGGCTAAAAACTTTAAATAGGCCCGGGCAAATCAAAAGGTCTTATAACTTGTTGCATAAAACTGAGTAACAGATGAACCTCAGGGCGGTTGGGGGTGGTGGTCACAATAGGAGCACTACCACCATGCAAATATATGTTAAAAGGTTAATAAATGTGTCCCCAGATGCATGTTTGGGTGAAAGGTTTGAAAACAGAGAAATGAAAACAATCTTTAATGACAAATCTAAAATATTGTACCCTCACCCATTTTATTTTTTTAAAAAACATGTTTGTGGACACCAGTTTTAGGGGGTGATGTTTATTTCCCATCCTTCAAATACTGTACTTTATTTGGTAATATGGATGGGAGAGAAAATTTAATGCAAGCCTCATTACTTTGCACTTCCCAAAATGATACATTAACCAAAAAGCAGCTCTTCTTAAGCATTTGTGCTTCTCTAGATGCAATTTCTCAACCAAAAAATGTCTACCCAAATTTGCATGCAGGAGTAGTGTGTGCATTACAATGCATGTATTAGGGAAAGTAACATATAAAATTCATTGTATTAGGGTGAAACACTGCAGAAATGTGTGCATCAATAAATGTGTCCCAAAAGCAACCAATAAATAACTTGAATAAGTTAATAAATATCAGGACAAGGCATGGAAATAGGATCTGCAGGGTCCACATCACAACAGTCAGTATTCGAACTACACTTTTGGATTTTAGAGGCTTGTGTAGGGCAGGGTTGAGACACTTAGGGGAGCAGCAGTGGCTCTGGGGAATAGATTTTGAGAGGCAACTCATAGTTGGGGGGCACATTTGACTTGGACTGCAGGCAATATTTTAAAAAGATAAGCACTGGTCCTAGTTCTGGTCACTTCTCCTCAAACTTAGTGATGTTTTGAAAAAAAATAATCTGGGCATCCAGATGGGTGAGCTGTTGGACCTCCAACTTTTTGTTTGACATAGTTGTCCTACATGGAAGGGCTTCCATTCCACCCCCTTTCTGTCCATCACACCGGTGTTTATCCCTTGAATCACATCCAATGTGATTTATATGAGCATCAATCAAAACATGTGCAGGTCTTTAAACTGTACTCTTTCTTATGAGGTCAGGAAATAATTGCATATGTTTCACCTCCCGTTTTGCCTCCAAAGTGATGCATATGGGGAATGTAAATTTGTGATCGTCTAATCTTGCTTGCTTAGACGGCTTGCACAATTTGATTACTCTGCTTTTCCTTTTCAGCAAATCTCACCATCGTTTTTAATAGATCCATTAAAACAAAAACAAAAAAGTGGAATGAAACATCAGAGATCAAAGTGATGGAATATTTAGGATGACACCAAAGACAACGGTTTTTGTTAATGAGTTTACTGACAGGCCTAGCACTGCTCCTGTAATAGGAGCACTCCTGAATCCTGAGGTCATTCCTTGGCTCATTGATGACTTATCTGATGGGTTTCCATGTTATGGGAGATGTCACTGTGATTCACCAATGCAGAAGATGGAATTTCTAAGCAATGGAAAGGGAATCACTGGAAATCATTTTCTTCCTTTCCAGTAATAGTATACTGCACAGACGCGGACATACCCTGCAACATAAAAACAAAATCCAATGATTAAACATTAAAGTATGGTTCTTTGAAATATACTGCACAACACTCAATCAAATTAAATTGGTGTTGGATACTATTCAAAAGATTGGCAAGTTTAAGATCCCCACCTAATGGATTGTAATTGCGTGTCAAAGTTGAAATTTACCTTTCCTTTTTTTAATTGGCATTTCTGCACCTGACTTGCATCTCCTGCTCCTCCCTCCGGTAGGACCTCTACGAGTGATCCTCCTGCTGGCATATGTACTATCTCTTCGTCTTGACATTGTCTTTGATGTTTCAAGGATCCAGGAACAGAGACATTATCCTTTGCTCCTCTGTGCCCCAACTGTCTACTCTGATGTTACGCAAGTTTCTGAAGCATTGTACCTGATCTGCCCCTTTTTAAAAATCTGTAGCTATGTCACACACGGTTGTTACAGCAGCCCTTTGTTCACTGAAATATGACATATATATGACCATATATAGTGACTGAAGGGTATTGGTGGGAAAAAATAGAAATAGCAGGGCTTTTCTTCAGCTGGAATTCACCGGAACTCAGTTCTGGCACCTCTCAGGTGGGTGGCATTGCCATTGTAAGAACAAGGGAGGCGTTAATGGTGAGTTCTGGCACCTCTTTTCTGAGAAAAATAGCACTGAGAAACAGTGGCCCTAACATGTAGTGTTTTCAAGAAAACAGTACTTTCCTAAACTTTGCTTAGACTGTTCAGAGTGCACTGATTGTGAGATAAGACAAACAGAATTTCAAAATGACATAAAGGATTGCTAATATTTTGCAACAGCCTCTCTCATTCATGACATTTTTTTCTACCTTACTTGATCTTCTTTCAACATGTTCATGCACTTGGATTTTCAAGTGAAAATAACAGTCAAAGAAATGTGGACGTTTCAGTAGGGTTAGAAGTTGTCCTCTTGTCCTCAACATTCCGTCTGTTACTCATAATGGCATTATTTCAGCGGCTGAAAGCCTAAACCCATTATGCAATTATTCAATTGCTTTCAGATGGGGACTGAGAGGTGGGAACTGACTACAGTGCAAGGGAGGCCTAGACCAAACTCTCCTACTTTTCAGTTTAACTCCTGTAAAAATCACAGTGGGATTTCTTATTCGTGGAAAGCAAAGTTTAAATTTCAAAAGGGGGAAGGGAGAAGATATAAAATCATGGGTGCTAGAACTCATTTTATTTGTTTGTTTGTTTGCTTGTTTGCTTGCTTGTTTGCTTGCTTGATTTCATTAATTGTTTGCCATAAAAGTGATATTACTTAGACACAATTAAATCACATGAGAGATGCTCACCACAGCGAACATTTTACATGTGTCCGATTGGTCACGTAAGGTGTCTAAGGTGTCTGAAAAGGGGCAGGAGGAGAATTGGGTGGGCTTATGCACACTCCACCGATGTACGCAGGGGTCAGGAATGGAACCCCTATGCAAAATAGTCACCGATGTTACGAAGATATATCCCTTCTGGGAAGGTTATTGTGTTTGCATGCATTACACACACACACACACACACACACACACACACACACACGTGTACATAAACCCACACCTGCCAATGCCTTCTTGGTATGCAAACAGTTTATTATTTATTATTTATTTGTATACCACCCTTCTTCTGAAGATCACCGGGCTTTTCACAACATTAAAATACCAAATGAAAACACAATGCATAACTTGCATCTTTACATAGACTGTAAGAAGACCAAAATGTTCACATTTTAATGTATCTGCCTGGAGAGAATGTAGTTCTCAATATATAATTTGCTTGTCAACATTTATATACCTCAGGATTGTAAAATCCCTCTAAGTGGTTTACACTTTAACAAATATGCAATTTCATAAGGATCAAGTTCCCACTGTACAGCTGGCAGGCCCTAGAAAGAAGCTTCTTAGATGCAGTGCCTTTTTGTATATGGCTGCATTCAGAAAATACTTTATTCTGTTTACCCAACATTTCCTTACTTGATAATTTCCACATTTCATGTGATCTTTCACACAGCATAAAACTAATGGAATGTAGCGGATGTTTAGCACTAATTCCAGGCTAATTGTTTCCAAAAAAAACCCCATTCTTTTGCAACCTTTTTAAACCAGAAAATAAAGGGAGTTTTGTGATGCAATTTTCCATGATAAAATTTGTGGCGGTCTTCCAGCATATAGTTCTTTCATGCCATTTAAAAGTTAATGTGACATTTTTCAATTTAAAAAGCCACAGATCCATAATGCAACAGGTAATACAGTGTTAAAGGAACATTAAGATCAAGGATAGAAGCACTAGCATTATATTCAGGAAAACAGTTTCATAGTACAATTGGGGAGAGCAATAATGTGAAAAAATGACTCGGGAAAGGCAAAGCTTGGCCATTTATGAGATCATGATTTCTATGCTTGTCAAAATGAGGAAGCGTGCTTCCCTCTTCACCTTATTCAGCTACCGTCAGTTACCATTCATCACTGACCCTTCCCCTCTCCCTGCCCCCCAGTAGTGGATGTCTGAGGCCTGTCATTGCATGCAGGGAGAGTGGAACTCCCAGAAGGCAGGGGCTATTTCTGTCACATAAGGATTTGCAGATTTTTAGAACAATTTAGGCTTTAACTTCTGCATGATGACTCATTACATCTGGGAGATTGCACAGTTGGTCAGATTTGTCTCAATGAGTTAGATTTTCTGAGCTCCCCCCGCAAACACACACACACACACACATTTGGGTCTAGGAGAAGCAGTACCGACAGCAGTGGGCTTGCCACCTTTCCCTAAATTTAGTATTATAAAAGCTCCATGTCTGGAGGCAGAGTTGCCTTTCCACTGGTGTCTTGGCATTGAATACAAATGACTGGGGAATTCTCAAACAGCTACCCCCGGAAATAGGAGAGCCAATGCAGGCTGAAACCTCATCAGCTAATTTAGAATGGTGGGGTTTTGGGGGAGAGGGGAGAGACTGACAAGCTGTAGCTCTTCTGCAGGAAGATGCACGAGCCACATCCTCTTTTTCACCTGGCTACCTAGCTAACCCCTAGCAAAGGAAGGTTCTGCTGGATCAAACAAAAAACTAATGCTTTCGAGATACTTCTGTTAAGAAGGTTGACTTGGTGTGTGGTTGGGGGCATCACTTAGGCTTCTTCTTCTTCTTAAGACCACAGGACAAGGCAAACCGTGATGTCATTCTCTGTCCTGCCTTACAAACTATTCTGAATGTTGGAGGGGCAGGGCTAGTTCAGCTGCAGTTTAGCCCATGAACTCAGAGATGAGCAGGAAGGTCGATTCTTTATTCAGAAAGACAAAACACAACAGAGAACTCCATGGGCAGGACTAGCCTGGTGTGGCAGTTGCCAGAACTGAGGATCTGAGCCTCCCACTTCCTCTCAAGGTTCCTCCCCAGGTAGCCGTCTTCTCAACCATCTCAAACTGCTTTGAGGAGGGGCTCTCTGTGCCTTTTGTTCTGCTACAGGTCACACGCTCCTCATTCTTGGGCACAAAGGAGGAAGGGAGAAGGAAACAATGGAACTGGCAGGTAGCTGGGAATCTCACAGCCTCAGTCTCCTACTCCTCCTCAGCTGCCTCAGTCTCACTTAAATCTGTTGCTTGCTCAGCCTCCAACCCATCCGCACCCCCTTCATCCTCTGACCTTTCTCCAGCATCCCACCACCATTCTCCTGGCTCTGGGGCTTCCCACTCTGATGCTTCCCGGGGGGGGGGTTCCCCGCTGTAGCCTCCCACCATTCCTCCTCATCTAGCCAGTCCCTGGCATAGAGGAAGAGACAGCTGTCTCTCCTTCTCTTCAATATTCCAAGTAACTACAAGAAGATTTCAATCCATATGCACCCCTCCATGTGAAAGCCAAGATCCTCACATGTCTCCTCCAGATTGATTGATTGATTTTATTTCATAAAATTGCACGGGGGGACGGACTTCAAAACAGTTTACAAAAAAAGCTAAAATCATTTAAAAAATCACTAAAACAATTACAGCCGTAATTTAAAGCATGCATAAGGTTGAAACTGCAATAGATTAGACTAAAACAGATTAAAATTCATACAAACTTTCTAAACATCTGAGTAAGGTAAAGGTAAAGGGACCCCTGACCATTAGGTCCAGTCGTGACCGACTCTGAGGTTGCGGCGCTCATCTCCCTTTATTGGCCGAGGGAGCCGGCGTACAGCTTCCGGGTCATATGGCCAGCATGACTAAGCCGCTTCTGGCGAACCAGAGCAGCACACGGAAATGCTGTTTACCTTCCCGCTGGGGGTAAACACTTGCACTTTGACATGCTTTTGAATTGCTAGGTTGGCAGGAGCAGGGACCAAGCAACAGGAGCTCACCCCATCGCGGGGATTCGAACTGCTGACCTTCTGATCAGCAAGTCCTAGGCCCTGTGATTTAACCCACAGCCCCACCTGCGTCCCTCAAACATCTGAGTAGGCTTGTCTAATTAAGAATGTCCTTGCCTGATATCAATAGGCAAGGAGGTTTGGCGGTGCCACACTAAATGGTTGAGCTTTTACAGATGCGGTTTGGGTATTATGTGCCCATTCCACCAATTAAAGCAGTTGAATGGGCACATACGGGGTAAGGCCAGTGCTTATTTTCTTCTGGGGGTACTCAAGGGCACGTAGTACCAGCACCTGTTTTTATAATCTAGAAGAAAAGTACTGGGTAAGGCAATCTCATAGGTAAACTGCTCCCAAGTTGTTAAGGGCTTTACATACTAAAAGCAAACAAACGTTGAACCAGTAGCAGATTGGCCACCAGTGCAGACCTCTGAACACCAAAGCCACTTAAAGCAAGACTGGGGAACCTGCAGCCCTTCCGACACTGGGGCCTAAAACTCCCATCAGCCTCAGCTACTTTGTCCAATGGTCAGGTATGATGGAAGCTGTAGTCAAGCAACATCTGGAGGGACACAGGTTTCCCACCCCAGATTTGCAACTTTGAAGGCCAATACCAGAACATTTAAACCAAGCCTGGAAACAAAATAGGCAGCCTATAAAGATAATACTACTAATAATTTTATTATTTATACTAATTATTTATACTTTATTTATATTTATTATTTACACCTTTATTATTTATATATATTTATATGGGGTAGCCCCAGCCACTGTGGGCAGCTCACAACAAAATATTAAAAACACAACTTCCCTACACGGTGCTCCCTTCAGATGCAACTAGAACCACATGCGGGTTCTGGGTCTGCTGGGACTGTGTCTGCCCTGCCTGAATCACCACACCCTACATAGTCACACAGTAGGGGGGGAAATCCTGATGCAGAGAAGCTGTTCTACAATGTTCTACACCTGATCATGCAGGTTTCTTAACTATGTGGGGATCCTACATAGAGCAGGCTCCCTGTTTCAGACACCCCCCCCACCTCCAATCTGTGGGTGGCGAGGCTGGTGAATGCCACCCCACTTCTCCCCTTCATACAGTTAGCATCCTGTGAGGGTGGCTTGTCCAATGTAGTCCTGATAAATCGACAGAAAATGGGACAAAGATCAAGGGTGTCTGTGCGTGTATGGGAAATTAATATATGGCTTCAGCAGCCAATCCTTTGTTGCAAGTCTCCAGCAAAAGATGATTGGCCAAGGCCCTACAGGGTTGGGTCCATTTGTTTGCTTTTTTAACTCTGACGTTTGACTACAATATGGCGTTAGTTAAATTATATTCCCTTCTTATATGAGTAATATTATATGTATAAGGATTAATGAAAGCACATCAAACACTCCTTGGTGTTTCTCCAGAAATATATACACAGGGAAGTGATATTATTGAGCATTAGATGGGATAATCTAATAGTTTAGGAAAGCTTCTGAATTTTTGTGCGGGTTGAGTCTCCTTTTTCCTCCTAAGTCTGAGTCAATAATATTAACTAAGAACAGATCCATAAATATTTACTATGGAACACAGAAACACATGTGAATTTCCTCAGAAAGCCCCATTCAGCAATCCGATGTTTATTTTATTCAGTTTGCTGCCGGTGCTCTGGGATCAATGCCAGGGTTACAAATGTTGTTGAATAAATCCCAGAGTGACCTTCTCCCCTACATCTTAAGTCTTATTAGCATGCGTTCATTATGAAAATAAGATCCACCTTCTCCTCCTCCTCTATCCTTCTCCCCATAGAGCAATCCATTAGGAATGGCATCAAACAGGAAATAATCATAACCTCAACGTAAAAGAAAGAATGAATGGGAGGATGAATAGCATCAGGGGAGCATGATGGAATGGTGGGTGGAGGAACAGGTGGGGAGTGTCTGTTGAGAAGAACTCCCTTGGGCTGAGAATAGAGAAAGGAGGGTGTGCAGAACAGTGAGACCAGCAAGGGAAAAGACCTAGGGCGTGTACACGCTGCGTGATAATGTGCATTCAGTGCTGGATGCTGGCGCCTTTTGGAGGTGCTGTATACATGATGTCATCTCTGTCTTACACTATTTGTCTTTCTAAAGTGCATTCTGCTGGAACGGTTATAATCTGATCAGGTCCCAAAATGCACTTCTCGTGTACTTGCTGAATACATGTGTACACAGAGAGGGCTTTCTCAGCTCATTTCCTGTGGGGGCAGATCTACAGATGCTGCCACTGTCCCTTGCCATGTTTAACTTGTTTATGAATGAAATAGGCAAGACAGGAAGCACTAACTCAGCCCCCTCTGTATACCAGTATATAGCTTTTGTACATCAATACATAAACACACCAGTTTCCAGCCCTTCTCTTTCAAAAGACTGTGATGTATGTGTCTAGATAGATAGATAGATAGATAGATAGATAGATAGATAGATAGAGTCTATGGCAAAAACACCAGTTTGAAAACATGCCCACAGACAACTTGAGTAGTAGCTGCTGCTTTAGATGAGGTTATTGCACAAAGGTGTGCAAATTGCGAGCCACTATGTACAGAAGAGCACTGTGAAAAAGTGACCTCTGTGTGCTTCAAAGGCTACATGTGTACACAGCTAAAGATAAAAAGCAAGTGGTTAGGACAGCTGATGAAAGCAAGGGGTGAAGAGATGAAAACAGCATGGCTCCCATCCCAGAAGGAAGGCTATTCTGCCTCACTCCTTCTCCCATTACATGTGGACTGAGTAGTACCTTTGAACCAGGAACTGGGGAACTATCCTGACAGTTCTGAACTGGTCATTTAGATACATACTGAGTCATTAAAAACAAAAAAACAAAAAGAGCTGCCCGAAAACACAATGTACACCCTGCTCGCTGTTTTCCCTTCCAATCTGATTTGAAGAGTTTGGGTTTTGTTTTTTTCCTTTGAGAACATGGGATCTCCGGTGCTCTCATGGCCCCTTGGAGAGCTCATTATCCAATTTGCTATCATCACCCAGCAACAGTTCACACCCTGAAGTTAGATTTAGTGGTTGCAATGCTTACTTCCAGCACAGTTCAAATGAACCAGGTCAAAGGAACACAACACTGGTAATTCAAGCACAGATGTTTAATAGAGACAAGTTCAGATCTCAGCTTGCCAGGACGGCAGTGTTTAGGCATGCAAAAGATTCCAAGCTGTGTCCAAGGCATCTACAGATCAAATTGGGCTTTGACAAGTTGTTGTAGGCTATGATACGAAGGGTTGTTTCACAGACATTCAATACATTGAATATTGTACCCAAACCACTTAATATATGAAACTCCTGTCTGCTGGCCACATTTTGCTCTATCTGGGTCTTCATAAGCCTTATTTCTGTCCCAATTTTTGCCGGGGCCATGTAACATTCATAATTCAACATAGAATTTTTAAAAACATAGATGGGCAGGCCATGCTAGTTTTTACAAAGGACAGTCTTAAGCCACCAAACTTTTAGGAGTCTTTGACTATAGAAATGACTATAGAGGAGTGGTGGTCATTTCCCCCAAACCATGACTTTGTGGATTCCAAGCACCACTCACCCGATGTCATTGTGTTGTTAAATGATTGACAGGAGGGTGGTCCCATCCACCTTTGAAATTTGGTCCTTGAGGCTGATCCAGATAAGGATCTGGCCAGTGGAGCCACAAAAGTCCGCCACCTCTGAAGTAGAGAGAAAGGGGCCCTTTTTGGGTATCCTACTTGGGTATTCTACTTGTCTTTAAAACAAATATGTGAGCAGTTAGAATGGGGACAAGTGTCTTCCACTGCACTCATCCCCATCAACAAAATTCTCAAAGGTGTACTTCCAGGGGTCTGAATTAGACAGGTAGCCTCCACAATACAGGAAGCTACAAAAGTTTGTCCACTGAATCAGCATTTCCCAGCCAGTGGCTCGTGATCCAGAAGCAGGTTATGAAGCCTGTGCAAGTGGGTTGCTAGGTTTATAAGTAAACCCAAAATAATTATTGCATGCAAATCCTTAACTGGCATGATGAATACCTCTGACAACTTCTTTCTTTTGCCAGCCTTGTACGCCTCCTTCCGGCAACTCCTGCAGCCAAGCTGGTGCCACACGTATTGCTCTCGCTTTTCTTTGGACCACATCAGTGAGGCTGGGCAGCCCCGGGGAGTGCTCCTAATGCTGCAGTTCAACTGGATAGATGGATGTCAACAACAAGTATAATGCAGTGTTGACATTTGTAACCACACTACTCTCTGGTGGCTAGCGGAAGATACGGCAACAGTTCACCACAAGGTGCTCATACGGGGATTTGTTTTGAGTGACTATTACAGCTCACCTGATGCACAGGTGCTGCCTTTGGCTAGAGCTAGCTGAAGTATTCCATGAAGTGCTTATCTAATACAGCAAAAGGGATGGACAAAATGATAGCTCTTTTTTGATTCTCAAAGCCAATTAGTGTTTTAGATTCAGGTAGGTAGACGTGTTGGTCTGACACAGTCGAAATATAGATTTATTTATTTTGTAATTATTGGTATAAGCTTTCGTGCATGCACACTTCTTCAAATACCTGAAGAAGTGTGCATGCACACGAAAGCTTATACCAAGAACAAACTTAGTTGGTCTCTAAGGTGCTGCTGGACAATTTTTTTTATTTTTTTATATATTCCAATTAGTGTTTGGTATCTTAAGTTCAGAAATCGACTGTGATAACCCCCACCTCACACAAATAATCGTTGCCTCTGGGGCCATGTGCTGCAGAGACTATTTGAGTTAAGAGAAGGATTACATGCATTTCTTTTGAACTAAAAGCTTGAGTTGCAATTTAGCCCATACAGATTGGCTAGCAAAGTTAGCATACCTCACAAACATGTTTAGTAACTGGAATGAAATGACTTGAACTTAAGCGTACAACCATACAAGACAAAAAGATATTTATACATAACACAGCTTTCATGGGGGGGAAAATGTCACAACTTTGGCAGATAAGGCATTAGGCTGGAGCCTTAGCTGACATTCTGTTAAAGGATTCCAGGAAGGGATGTCTCTGTCCGGTAGTCCTTGTGGGAGCTATGGGCCATAGAACCCTTCACAATGGTGGCTCCAGTGGGATTGTATCACAAGGGGAATGTCAGGGACGGCCCCCAAACCCTGGGTCAACCCCCACTTGCTTATCAACCAGCAATCGGGCTGCTTTATGATGGATACATACCCAATGCCTTCGCCAAAACCGTCTTACTTACACCTGTAATCAATAAAGCTGTGGCTGATTTTCAACCCAATTCAAAATGTCCCACGTTTTATTTCTATGGTTGGCCCCTCACCGTGCTGAGGGCCTCATGTGCCTGGGCATGCAGTCACAAAAAGGAATTGTGTTCATTATACCTTGTTGATGAGTTTCTAGAGGTAACTAGCTGTTTGATGTAGGCAAGACAGCAGAAGACAAGAGGCAGCACTCAAGGGCGAGTTACCTATCTAATATAATTGTATGTTATTGAGTGCGGCCTTCACTCTGTCTGCCTTTCTCTTCAAACACTTTCAGGCTAGTGACACTTTGCAAAACTTTTCATAAATCTCCGTAGTGCATTGAAACTATAATTTGATGCAATCTAAAGCTCTGTTATTCACAGAACATGTCTCAACGTTTCCGTAACTAAATTTTACCCGGAAAAAACAAACATTAACTTCTGACCTTTAACATTACTCAGGTTTTTCTTTCAAAAAAAATAATATTGCAGGGGTTTGTAATCAAATATTTATTTTCCAATCCCAGTCTGATGTGTCAAGACTTTTCCTGCAAGACTTAGTTGCATATGACTCACTCTTCCAGTGTCTGAGACAAACTCTGAATACAGACTCCTTAGCTTTCTGTTTCCTTCTGTACTACAAATTAGGGAGTATGTTGCAGAAGAAAACAACCCAAGATGAATAACACTAGTTTTGCAACACTGCAACTCTAACATATTCATAGACCTTTGTCCGTGCTGACTTAGCTATCCATAAGTGTTACTAGCTTGAAATGCTAGTATTGTAGTAGTTTCCAATCGCTGCTCTTTATTGGGCAAAGGAGGCGGCAGGGGGAGGTGGGTGAGAGGCAGAGGGCTATATTTTGCAAGTGGCCTCTGAGGGAGACATACCACCTGGATTGTTTTTAATGGGTCCAAAGCAATCTTATTTATCCAATTACACAGTGCTGTTCTTTCTAGAAAAAGAGGTGCCGGAACTCACCATGAACACCTCCCTTGTTCTCTTATAATGGCAATGGAGCCCACCTGAGAGGTGCAGGAACTGAGTTCTGGTGAGTTCTGGCTCAAAAAAGTCCTGCAATTACAGCAGACTGTATCAGAAGAAGGGAGGGAGGGAGGGATGTGGCGGTACCAGTAGCTTTGATCGAAACCACACTCCTTCCTCCATCAACTTTCACGTGGGATCAGTCACTGTATCAGGCTGTAGCACAGGATAAAAGGGATGCAGGGCCACTCTCTCAGCACACCTGTGAGATCAGCAATGTGGGTGACTTTTTATTGTCCAACTTAGTTGGTCATTAGAATGATTTGCACTTAAGAACTTGTACCTTGCTTATTTCCTCCTCCCTCCCAATCCATTCTCCTTTGGTGTCATGTATTTTTATATTGTAAGCCTGAGAGCAGGGAGTGTCTCTTCCTTTTTTAAATGATTTGTGGGCTGGGCTGGTCACCTTTTTTTTTTTACTGAAGAACTGGATAATTTTCTTTTTGAACAAATAATGAGTAAATATTCATTAGCCAGAGGATTCCCTTCACTGTACTGTAATCTCATTTTCTTCCCTATTTCTGTACTGAGTCCCCCTCTTATTTGTTTCTCTTTTCTTTTCTACATTTTCCCAGGCCCCAGGCACTTTTGAAGCAATTTCATTGTCTTTCTCAGGTTAGGAGGACTGGGGACTGGTCACATGTGGCTTGCCCAGTTCTCATTCCCCCTCCTCTGTCAAACTGCACTCTCCCTTGTTTCTTCCTTCCTCTTCCAGGACAGAAGTCATGACCATCCCATGCTCCTTGACCCATTTCCGCCCTTATTATCTCCTCACTGCAACAGCTCCCATAGGCGTGGACCACTGCATTGTCCAATATTTTCACCCTTCCTACTGACTCACAACCCTGCCCTGCTGTGATTTGTCAGTGTTTTTGTGTGTGTGTGTGAGCAAGCTGTTCAGAGATGGGGAGAAGTAAAAGAGCATATAAATCCGAACGCTAGCTTATTGTGTGCTCAGCTCACAAAAGCAGAGGTAAACTAATGACTGTTCAAATAAAAGGATATTAATGACTGCCAAATTAGGGAGACATTACAAATTCACAATATACACACATAGTTAAGTGCAAGTGCTATTCAAAGAACAATGCCATGATGTAGCTATAATAGTCTAGAAAATATTAAAATGAATTTACAGGAGGGGGAAGGAAGATGTGGAGGGGGAGAGGAGAGAAACTGCTGAAATGTAATATTGGCACTAAGATTCCTTCAGATTACAGACAATTCTTGGCAACTGAATGTGTCCCTTTCCCTACAGCATGTTTTGTGGTGTATACCGTATTAAATTAACATGCCATATTACATTGTGGGTAGATGCAAAATTTGTAATATGTATCCACTAAAACTGCAATGTATGAATGATCCAAAGCTATGAAACCCAGGGATCACTTCAAGGCCAATGTATGCATTGCTTGTGCCTTGAAAATGTCGTATAGAATCATAGAATTGTAGAATTCTATGTAGAAACATTGTGTCCATGGATATCCGGAGGGCCACAGGTTCCCTGTCCTTGGCTTAGCATAATACTTCACACAGAAAGTATTATATCCCATAGGTAGCTAGTTTGCCACTTTGAGAACAGGATGCTGGACGAGACAGCCTGATCCAACAGAGCTTCTTATACTCTTATTCATAGTCCCTTACCAGTTGCCACCAACTGGAGTATTGTTAGGGAGTTGTTGCCCTTGGTCCTGGATAACCTGCCCTTTCCCACTAGAGATATTGGAGAAAAACACCAAAGATGAAAACAGACGTTCATTACATTCACTTATTTATCCCATATTTGGAATTGAAATCAATCTAGTGAGTATGATCAGTACTGGCTGTTGCTGTTGATTATAGCAACTACTTAGTAAGTGTGATATATATTTTTTAAAAGATGGCCCAATGGGCTCACCCACCACCAGGAAGTTATTTCATAGGGGCATTTCCACATTGAGTTTCTTGTGTTTACCAGCTCTTGGGTTCGCCTTTTGTGTGAATAAGCCCTGAAGTGAATGACTCATACAAATGGTTGAAATGGTATACTTTCTAAACAGTGTTTTCACCACCTCAAGACCAAGAAGAAAAGTAGTTTAATATATTAATTCAAACTGGTTGATTAAAAAAATGACTGCTTTCCTCTAAATGTTGTGGTAAGAGACGGACCATTCATTTGCCTACACCTCGCTTTAAGCCTGCACCTTCCTTGATAAAACAAAGTGTTATCTGATGGTTTTGCTAGATAAGCTGATGCCCTGAGGATATGGTGTCAAAACGGCATAGCGCTGCACTTACTGCCGTTATTAAAATAACATTAGTTTTATTATTTGTTGCTGGAGTCAGTGTGCTAGCATCTCATGTGTACTTTAGCAACCTGCCAACTAATAATTATCCTATAAAGTCTGATGGTTAGCTTTTAGTAAAAGTTAATGATAGAGAAATTATACAGCAACCTAAGAAAAAGTGTAGATTGTCAACAAAAGTTATCAGCATAACAGAAGTCACTTGCTTCAGAGAACCTAAAATTTCTGTTAGACCAGACCACTGTATCTTATTCACGGTTTACTGACAATGGTCAAACAAGCCACAAGGAAAGGCTGATGAGATGCCTACATAAAACTGGAAATCTGCCTTTTTTGCTTAAGTTATGACAAGCCCCACTGAGTTCAATAGAATTACTACCAGGTACAGTTGCTGTATAGGACTGCAGCCGGAATGTATTATTTCTATTATACTTCGTGTCTCCCATCCCATCTCATCCAAAGCACTGTTTCTTAGGCTATTTTAGCATAACTATTTCAGAAGGATCAGTTGTTATTTAACATTCCAAAAAGAGTAAAATGATATTCTGCATCTATCTCTTTTCTTAAAATGCTACACAGAAAAGACAGTCTTTCTCTCCCCCCCCCCATAAAAAAACACCAATTTAACTTTTCTTTGAGAGGAAAAATTGAAGAAAGTACAAAACAAATATCAGGAATACTTTTTTCAGTAGTTAAAAAGATTGCTCCTCCATTATCCCCCCCCTTTTTTAAACAAATCCTATAATGTATTATTAAGTACTGAGATATATTGCTGATGGCATGCCTTGCATTAATAGCATTACTGGAAAAGGTTCTACAATTTTCTTCAGGATAATTTATCCAACATTGGGCCAAATGGAAAGCTTTTCAATAGCTGTCGGCATCATTAGCTTGTGCCTTTTGAGGCACAATCAAGGGCACTGGATGCATATTGATCTGGTGTTATTCTAAGAATGGATGGAAAGTTAGAAATGCATGTGAAGAAACAATTCAAAGATGCCCTTTATTCTGCAAACAAATAGAGCTTTGGTGTTGAGCGCCTCATCAGCA